AGAGCGAGAGAAGCGCTAATGAGAGGGGGACCGGGGTGGCAAGTGGGGCCTACCGCCTTTCCGTTCCCCGTCTATCCCCCTCTCTGTCGCTCTTCCATTAGCCGCACACGTGCAAGCTTAGCATTCTACATCTTTCTGTCTCTGTTTGTGTTTGCTAAGCCGCATTTGGCATAGTTTTTTTTTACGTAATGCAAGAGCAGAGAGAGCCAAGCTTATGTGTGGGCAGTCAAGCTCACTCTCCAGCTTACTGCGTAAGTGTGAGTGTCCGAGTGTATCTTGGAGGTGAGCGAATGAGCGAGCGGAGCAAGTGATCATGATTTGCAAACACAAGCCCAAGCAGCTGTTTGATTACAACGAGAAAGGAAGAAGAGGAAAAACAGCAGGCTAACCCGAAGCTTAAATTCCCTGGCACAATAAATTCAAATACCGTTTTTGTCCTTCATTTATCGTTTTTTGTTTACTTTTTGTTTGAAAAGGTCAACCCTTAATGATGAATTATTAAATAAATTTAGAGGCCATACATAAGCCATTATTTAGGTATGATATTAGGATTTGTCAAATATCGTATAAATCTTTGTGTACACAAAGTTGAGCAAGCCCATAAGCCCTCCAATTCCCAAGCTCGGTTTCGCCTCGTCTTAACCTCCAAGTAATCAAATTGCTCGCGACAGTTGCTGGCAATTAAAATCGTTTGTAGAGCCAAGTCAAACAGTAAAACGAAATTAAATTGTCAAACAATTTGCCGCTGCATTTGAAATGCTTTATTTAATTAATGCAAATGAGTGTGAGCTAAAGTAGCTCGTCGAGGGAGTGACGCATAGAGCAGCTGCCATCTCAGCTGACCACCCGGTTGAGATAATCGAGAAAAACGTGCCAGGAGACAGATAAATGTGGCAACAATAAAAAGCAATAACCTCACAAGTGAGAAGTCTAGAGCAGAGAACGGGGAAGAAAGAGAGAGAGAGAGAGAAAGAAACTAAACCAGGTCTAGCCGGCAATGCAAATCAATCAAGTCCGATGAAGTTACCGTCGACGCCGCAGTTGGCGTCGCTGCATTTGCCACAATTTACAGCAGAATGTACATAGGAACTTGCTTAGTTGAAATTGTGTTTATCTTAATATATAAAACACAATCTATTTTTTTATAAAAACATATTTTTTCAGAAAATTTTAGTTTTGATTACTCTATAAAATAAAGTTAATTTTTATCTGCCCCGATTTGTCATTTTTATGTCTGTCGTACTCTGAAAACATGAGAAGTTCCACTGTGCTGTAGGAAAACAACAAGCAAACTCATTTTCCTTCATTATCATCAAAGCAGAGCGTCTTGGATGTTGGAAAATTGCAAACATTTCAGCTAATTGGCAAGACGAGGAGAGCCGGCAAAGAGAGAGGCAGAGACACTGACTTGAGCGGCATTTGTTCAATTAGAACGTAAACGTTTATGAGAATAAGAGGCGGGCGGTGGGCGGTCGGCCAGTGAGGGAAGTGGATGGCTAGAGAACAAAATTTGGCGTGAAATAAGAGTTCAAGCACTGGCAAGTCGGAAAATGCACAAACAGGCAATAAAGAAAACGAAGAAAACTAAAAACTTACAAAAATAACTTTGCAAGAAACTGATTTATACGGCGGTTGAAGGTTTTGAAAAATGTTGCAGACAAAATGTTTATTAGTTTGGCAAACCAATTTAACACAAAATCGAAGAGAAATTACCAAAACAGTAGGCAACAAAAAGTGTGACGGTTATCGGTTGTGTTTTAACAGTTTAAAGCTGGGATTTATTATTAACAAAAAAAAAGGGACAAATTTGTTAACCTTTTTTAAAACACAATGAGAAGGAAGCACAGCAAAAACAATCAACAATGCTCAAAAAGCTTCTTAACAGAGATGTTCCAATTAGGAAACCCATTATCCAACCAGAAAACGCAAACGAATGGGGAGAAAAAGCAGCGCTCAAAATCAGATGCCGCACACAGAGACAAATTCACAAACACACGCACAAAAAACCCAAACACACACAAATCATTGCGCGTGGAAAAAGCAACAACAAATTAAAGAGGGAGGCGGAAAACTGGGTGGAAAACGGGGTTCTAGATGAGGACGAGAATTCGCGGATGATGAGTAAGCAGCAGAGACTACATAAAAGAATCGCAAGTAATAAGAACACCGCATACACCGAGAAAAATTAGCTATATATAAACCTAATGTTCTTAAGAAAATTAATTTGAGCTTGCAATTAACATTATTTTTGGAAGGTTATTGTATTGTTACATAATTGTAAAATTAAATAACCAATAAGTACCAACTTGTTCGTATCTATTTATTACATTTTTGTGCTGTGCAGAAAACGAATGCAAAGGGGCAGAAGAAATAGAAGAGGAAACAGAATGCGCCACATGCAGGGCAACAACAAAAAGTAACGCAAGTGAAACAATGAGCAAACTTAGTGCAACAACACAACGCAGAAGAATTGTTGTTGCACCTCTTATCCCTTCTTCCCTCTCACTCGCTCACTATTTTCCTGCTCCCCTTTGTATTCCATTCCGTTTCGTTCCGCCCGGCTGTTAAGCGCAAATCAATGACCTACGACATCAACAAGAGCGCTTCAGACACACACGCAAAGCCATAAGTGGGAGCAAGAGAGCGAAGAGATAGTTCTGGAAGAGAGGAGCCAGAGGGAGCGGGATAGCACGTGGCAGGTGGGGTGCACGGGGGTATGTGGGGAAGACGGGCGGCGAAAGAAAGACAGAGAGAGAGCGCGGGGGGATGCAGGGAACTTTGCGAATTGCGGCAGTTGCCATCGTCTGCGATTCTTCACCCTCCAAACAAGTGTAGTCTTTCTACAGTAAAGATTGGAAGATAATCTTAAATCTTTTTAAGATTCCGACATGTTTAACGAACATTCAAGTTCTTTCATTATTCATTTATTCAAACAACAAAAAAAAAATGAAGTCACTCAAAGCTAGCAACCACTGTACTTGAGACACCCCACAGAATTATTATTCCATTTACGGCCCCATCGAGTGCTTACTGTTATCAGGAGGGGACCGAGCCAGTAAGCTCAAAAAACTAGAGTAACAGTCCCAGACGCCAAAAGGAGGCGAATACGAAGAGGAAGAAGGACATCAACAAAGGAAGAGAAAACGCAACGACAACAAAAGCTTTGCCGAGCTCCCTTTTGGCACGACTTCAGTTTTCCATGTTTATTTTCAAGGAACCTCCTGGCTGGAGGTCCTTATTTCTGTTTCTCGTTTTCCTTGTGCTCCTCGCATAAAAGTAATAAATATTTTCGTCCTCTTCTCAAAGCATTTGCTGGTTTTTCGTTTAGAGAACAGTTGCACACAAATATATATAAAAGGAAGTATGTAGTTGCATAAGTAACACATAAAAATGATTTTATTAAAAGCAAAAAGTCAAGTTAAAAAATAGTGAGGTAAGTTGTGAGTTTTCTTTTATTTTTGTTTTAGAATTTAGTAACTCAATTTAGTACGCAAAAGTACAATTTTTTCGTGTTGTCTGATAGGGTACAACTTAACCCTTAACCGTCTCGGATCAACAATTTGCTTGATAAAAACATAATCGATTGGGGAGCAACCAACACTTGCACATGCAAGCCCCACATTGTGTGCGAAGGAAGTGAAAAGGAAATTGCAGTGGCAGGTGACAAGGGGAATCACCTGGAACAGAGGTCGAAAAAGGACGGCACGAACATAAGCAGACGAGTGAAATTCCTTAATTAAAATTGCATTTCCTTTAAACAATTGTGACATAACGAGAACTTCTTCACTTGACAGCATCACCACTCATTAGTTCCCAGTATTAAATTCTTTCGTTTATAAATTACAGGTAGTAGTAGTTTCTAGCTAAAATACCAGTGGCAGTGGCAGTCGAGTTCTCAAGTCATAAGATTTTCCGACAGGTGAGTAGACAGGTGTGTGAGTATGGAATCGAGTGTGTTTGTGCGGCATGTGCAATGTTCTGGCTTTATAAGGTTGAAAAATTGCAACCGGAATGGGATCTATGTATCTCGGACCCGCCCCTCTTTCTACTCTTCCCCTTTACATTCACATTTGTCTCCATTAGCAGCAAAGATACGAATAAAGCCAGAAAGCAGAAAAAGAATGAAGAGCATAACAAGCCTAAGAATTATTAAATTAACAGAATAATAATTTTCAGTCAATTTTATAGATCCAAGAACAGAGGAACAGAAAATATGTATAACACTTTGGACTCGTAATTTAAGCCCATTAAAACTGTCATATTCGATTTCAACAAACTTCCACAATTATTGAATAAATAAAACTAAAAATAAAACAAGATAAAGTTGCGCCCTTTACACAAATTTTGAGAGTCTAGAACCAATAAGAAAATAAACTTGGAAAAGAAAAATAAACTGTTCGTCACTGTAGAACAAGTACCAATAAAACCAGAAGGGAAAGCAAAATTATTGATTAACTCACTCAACAAGAAAATATCATCAAATGAAATTGAATGGTTCAAGTTTCGCCTACTTTCTTTTTATTTGAGAATAAACTTTCGATTAAAACTTATGAGAGCTCTATTATGGCCACTTAGCCATAACTTTTTCTAAGGACTCCTTTTCGACTGTTTTGTTGAGTTGGTCTTGGCTGTTTAATAGGCAACTATAAAGTTTGTGTCCTTCAAATAAACGCCAAATAAAAGATAAATGGGGGAGTGACAGCTATTACCAAGGATAAGCTGAAGGAAAACATAATTAGATGATTCATTAGAGGTATTAAATAAATAAAACTCTTACAAATCTTTCACAAATCATTCGATTTCATCGGGAAAGAAATACCTTTCCATCCTTAAATTTTTTTGGCCCCGCAAAATCTTAAATACCACTTTTGTCAAATTTCCAGTTTGAAATGAAACCAGTTGACGAAGCCAGGGCAAGAAAATTCTAATTAAGTATCTAACCCCTGCCTACAGTTATGCAATTTATTATCGCGAGCCAAGAAAATTAACCTATTACTCACCGCTGCATTCCGGTTGGCAGCTGCAACAGCGGAGCTGTTCATGTATTGACTCTGTGGCGGCATCATGGCAGCGCCCATGGGCACCGTTGTCTGGCCGCCCATGTAGACATAGTCCTGCGGTCCTCCGGCTCCGGGCGGACCCATTGGCGGTGGCTTGGGCATTCCCCCGTTCATTCCCGGGTGCATGGCTCCGCCGTGGTGATCGTACATACTGCCGCCGGACTGGGCGTACGATGACATGTGCCCCAGGGCAGCGGCATGGTTCAGCATATTCGAGTTGTACTGCCCGGGGTGCTGCTGCTGCTGCTGTTGTTGCTGCTGCTGCTGCTGCTGGCCGGGATGTTGGATGCCCAGTCCGTTGCCATTGCCCATTCCGTTGCCACCGCCCATCAGATGATGCGGATGTCCCTGGTTCTGAGCCTGCTGCTGCTGCTGTTGCTGCTGCTGAGGATGTTGCTGGTGTTGCTGCTGTGCCGCAACGGCGGCCGCGGCCTGCGACATCATGTGATTGTGCTTGGCCACCGCCGCTGCCTGCTGCATGGCGGCCATATTGGCTGCAGCAGCGGCCATCGAAGGATGATGCAGACCACCGTTGGTGCCGGAGCCACCGATATTCCCGCCTCCAGCTCCACCGCCTCCGCCGCCGCCTCCCATTCCGCCCAGTCCGCTGCCCATGCCAATGGTTCCGATGGCGCCCGGTCCACCATTGCTGCCATTTCCAGGCGGTCCGCCCGGAGCTGCGTTGGCTGGGTTCATTGGCGGATTGTACTTCCATTTGTCCGGGTTCTGCAATTGAATAACAGAAACAAACGTACGGTTAGCCTAATTAAACCAACTTTTATTTTATTTATTATTATTTTATTTTTTTATATATATGACATCCTTCCTTAACCTTAACTATCCTATTTTTGTATTTTTATTGGCTGCCTTCTCAATGCCAAGTTGCGATAATCTGTTTATGCAACCATTTTTGGCAGACACCGACCTTTGCAGCTTACACAATCTGCGGAGGTCAAATGAGGCAGGAGAAAAGCGCACCCTCCGCAAATGGAAATGCCGCAAAAAGTAATCAAGAAGCAGCACAGCTTAAAATTACCAAAATCCGAAAAGCAAATTAATGGTAGCAAGGATGCTGCTAATTGCGCAGAGTGCAATCGATGCTAATTGCATCAAAGAGCCATACTTTTAAAAAGATTTAGCCTTCTTGTTGGTTTTGAAATTCAGATGAAATCTAGTTGAGCTCTTAAATCGTTCTAGCTTTTACTCTTGCCAATTAAAGTTTCTAATTGGTCAGAATAAAAACTTTTCGGTTCTTAAAAAGAAATATGGAATATGGGCAGAAAAATCTATAGTTCAGAAACAATTTGTGGTACTTACATCAATGCCATGGCCGTCGTCGCCGCACGCCCATCGCGTCTGCTGTTGCTTTTGGGCAAAGTGGGCGGCATATTCGGCGGCAGCGGCCTCGTGCAAGGTCGAGCCGACGGCACCCACTCCGGGCACACCGCCACCCACTCCGCCCGGCGACGGGCGTTGCTGGAAGACATAGCCGACGGCGGCGGCTGCGGCGGCACCAGCTGCATCGGCGGCATCCTGGGAAACCCCGCCGCGAGATCCTACCACAATGGCATCCGTGCCAACGCCGACGCCTCCGCGGCCATTGCGATCATCGTTTCCACCCAAAAACTTCATGTGTTGCTGGTGTTGCTGCTGCTGCTGCTGGTGTTGCTGCTGTTGCTGTTGCTGGTGTAGCTGTTGAAAATAGGGCGGTGGTGGACCGTAATGTTGCTGCTGCTGCTGTTGATGTTGCTGGTAAAGTTGCTGCTGCTGCTGCTGGTGCTGCTGCTGCTGATGTTGTTGTTGCTGCTGCTGTTGTTGCTGCTGCTGCGGCGAGGGCGTCGATATGGCGATTGTGGGCGCGCTTAGGAGCTCAATTTTGGAGGCTTTTCCTAGCTATCGCAGCTGACAATTTTGCGCGTATTGCCAACTTTAATCGGATTTTTTCTTTCAAATCACAAAAGACCACACGCGTTTTTAAACTCGTTTCGATTCGAGCTATTCACAAAAGTTGCTTGTAATTTTTTTTTTCAAATTTTCTCTTCGGATTTACACTTGTTTTTTGTTGTAAAAGAAACCACACTTTTTGCTTATTATATTTAACATTTAATTTACAGGCTTTGCTGAGATTTTTCATACACACTTTGCTAAAAAAAATTAATTTTCTCGGTTTGGTTTGGTTGTCGTGGTTTTGTTTTTTTTTTACATAAATTTACACAAAAATTATGAATAATATTTTACACAGTTGCACAGCTGTTGTTTTTGGGACTTAACAAAACTGAACTTTATTTATTTAATTACGTATGAGAATTGGTTAAAACTTGAATTTTTACAGATTTATTTTTTAGAATTGTGGAATTTCCGTTTATTAATGTAGTTTATTAATTATAATTAGGATGAATTTTAATTTACACGACGTTTTAATGATGAAAATATACACAAACTGGAAAGAGAAATATAAATGAAAATTGTTATTAACCAGTGTTGGTTTTTTTGAAATAAGGGAGGTTTGACCATTATAATTAGACTGCATTTCTGATCTGTCAAACGATAAATATACAATTTAGGAACTTAAATTCTAGCAACTTTTTAGCTTACTACCAATCTCAACGCGTTGTTTAAGATAAGCGAATTCGTTGTTGTTGTTGTTTTTTTAAAGGCACGAACCACTATACTTTTGTCCGATTAAAAACTTTGAGCTGGTCATGGTAAAGAAAAGAATCCGATAACGCAGACAGCAGACGGGGCGCATAATAATAATCAACAAAATAAAGCGCACAAGGGGCGAATAAAAGCAAAACAAATTCTTCTAAAACTGAAAGACGAGTAAGACAAATACTAGCCATGATTTCCTCATTACGAAAACAATAACAAAGCCATTGGCAAAGGGGTGGGGAAAGGGGGCGGTGTCGTTTGAGGAACAGGAGCTCCAAGAACAAACGAAGAAGAAGATTATCCATAGAAGAACAACGCAAAGCTGAATCATGCGCGAAAAATACGGAAAATGAATACAGTATTCAAGACCGATTTTTGAAACACCCTGACGACCTTTTTTATTCTTGAAAAACAAATAATAAAAAAAATAAGAAAAATGATCAATGACTTGCAAAAAGGTATACTGTATATGTAGTCCTTAAACAAAATTAATCTTTGCATTCCTCTTTATTTAGAGCTTTAAATTTGAAACAAACACGATAAGAATGGGTTTAATGTTGCAGTTTTAAAAATGTATCGTCAAAGGCGAATAAATTCTAGGTCCAGTTGACTCATTTTGTGATAAGCAAACCGTAACAAATATTTATTTATTGCTCTGGTGTTTAAACAACATTTTAGAAGTGTAACAAATAAATGTTTACAAAAAAGGGAATTATAGATCCTTAAACCGAACTGCAAGTGGAAATTGCTCGGTTTAACGATCTCGAAAATATATCTGGTGCTAGACAAGCTTCTGGACAGAATACTAGCGCTCCCCGCGAAGGGAAACAAAAAGCGCAAAGACAGCGGCTGAAGAAAAGCAAAAAAAAGGGGGTTTGTTGGGGCGTGAAGAGACAGAGGGGCGGTTGAAAATGGAAAACACATAAAATTAACATACACACAGAGGAGCAAGAACAACAACAACGATGCCGGCAGACGATGAGCGAATGCGACAGAACGAATGGCGAAGAAAACGAAACGAAGACGAAGGCGAAAGGCGGCCGACACATTTGAGGTTACGTTTTCAGCGAGAAGAATGCGAGTGGGTCGGTTTTTTTTTTGGGTTGTTTACGAGAATCTCCATCTCTCCTTTTTCGCCCCCCAAAACGCCACTCTCTTCGCGGAGAGACAAGTGCAGCATGCGAAAAGGGATAGAAAGAGCGAGCGAATGCTGGGCCCTGGAAACACGCACACCCTCACGAACACTCGGGAATATAAAAACAAACATAAAGATAAACCATAAAAGAGATACCTGCCAAACAAAGAAGGCGCGCCTAATAACTAAATTAATAATTAAACTCATTGAATTATTAAATATTTTAGTAGTTAAGTGTTCTTATTGGGAAAAGTACATATATACAAATGCAAGGCGTCCCGTGAGAGAGAGAGCACGCACACACACACACACGACTAAGGCTACAGAGGGGAAGAAAGGGGAGGAAGAAGCAGAGCAGCCAAATGGCCGCCGCTCAAAAGGAAGAACACGATGGAATAAGGAAATAATGAAACACACTCTTGCACACACGCACAATAGGAAAAATATTTCACCAACAAAAAAAGGAGACTCATATCAATTATTCAGGCAAACACTTAATTGATTTTTACCTTTTTCGGGCAAAATACCGAATAAATTCGCAAACTATTTATACATGTTTGCATATATACAAAAAGCGGTCTGGAAATACACACACACACATGCCGCCGTAGTGGAGAAGGAAACCCGATGATGACAATGTAAAACGAAACAGGAGTACTTTACGGTTTTTGGCTGATTCGTTTTTTTTCATAGCACTTACACATGCACTTAAAAAAGCCTTCGCATCTGCATTTTCGTTGATGGTGTGTGTGCTTTCGTTAAATACGAAATTTAGATTATTTAAATTACAATTATTTACACAGGATGATGAAGAAGAAATCGGCCAGGAATTTCTTCAACGTCGCCGCCGCAGAACGATAATAAAAGCGAAATGCAAAGACTCTGGCCAAATCCAACTACAACAAAGAGCGAGAGAGTGGAGAGAACAAGAACCCCAAAATGAGAGTAGTGTTGGCAAACGTGCGAAATCAACAGAGAGAGCGAGTGGGCATGCTCCAAGAGAAAGAGAGTGAAAGAGAGCGGGGGTGTGAGCGCAAAAGACCGACAATTTATTTTACTTTTATTAACATGCGCGCAAAATATTTATATAAATTGATTACACATTTTCTTCTCCTTTTATCACCCCTTTCTTTTATTCACCCTAGCAAATGAGTTACGCTGCGCCAGCCAAATTGTTTATATATTATTTATCAATCGATTTTAGGGGCATGGGCATGCCAAATTTGATTAGACGCCAGACGCACACAAACATTCACTCGCACGCACACAGCCGAACACTCGCGCATACATACACACACCAGGGTGTTTGTTTTGTTTTTGTTTGCGGCTTTTTTATGTCAATTTTTGATTTTTTTGCAGTCGCAAATTGGATTCTTCCTTTCGGCCGATTGGAAACTTTAGAGCTCTTTTATATTTTTCACTAATAAGTACTCCTTCTAATACACTTTTCATGTTTTATTGTTGCTGGGCACACACACCTTAGCTTATTTGAAAAATTTACATGTTACAAGCACGCCGTTCTAGGTCTGCTTCTTCTTACGCGCGAACATTTAGTGTTACCGCAGCGCAAACGTTTAAATATACTACTCGGCAAACGTTCTTAAAAATGCGTGCTTGATAAAGAAAATACCAAAATTATACCACCCGCTTTTGGACTCTAAAACTCCGTTAAAATAAACTAATTTTAAAAATGCTAGATTTCTATTTCCCAATACGTTTGGTTTTTTTTTTCATATTTCTGGATATGAAAAATGAATGATCGTTTTCCCATTTCAGATTTCAAGTTTAAGCAAAGGACATCCAAATCCAACTACACCAATTAAAAATCAACCATTAAGGTCTAATGTTTATTTAAATTTGGAAACGATTGAATTAGCTGCAATCAACTCAAATTAAACTTATTACAATGAAATACAATCTTATTCCGCAAAAATGATGTGGCTTCTTTGGAACCTTTCCCAAAGAAAGACCTGCAGAGCTACTCTAATACATATACGTTATTTATTTGAAAGTTACCATCAAATAAAACAATAATTCCGAGCTTAAACGTCAATATACTGGAGTTCAGTGAACTGTATTCCGTTTTCCTAGCAATAATTCGGAAAATGTATTTAGTTAAAGTTTGTTAATTTGGGGAGGGGAAAGGTTCGCGAAAGTCCAGTAGGTCCTCTCCAGGGTTTTTACTTTTTTTCTTTTTTGTTGTTTTTTGTTTTGTTTGTATGGTCTTGTGTGTGCTCAAGGTTTCATTAGTTCTTATTTGCAGATAATGTTTTTCCCTTATTTTTTCAATGTTAATTTTTGTTGATTTTGTGTGGGGGATGTTGTGTGGTGGAAATGTTAATAGATTTTTAGGCTGCTACCGATTCGGAATCGTTATAGACATCCGAGACGTACTCCTCGTTGGCATCGTTGTCGCCATCGGAGTTCCATTTGAGGTCATCTCCTTTGGGTGGGGGTGATCCGTCAGCACGACGCTCCTCATCGTTCGACTCCTTCTTTGAGTTGTTCTCGGCCTGGTCGGTGGAATCGGCGTCATCTGCATCATCTTTGTTGACGACCTTCGGCGGGCGGCCACGGGGCTTAGGGGTTCCCTCCATGGGCGTCTTGCTGCCGCCGAGTGAAGGACGACCTCGCTTCTTTGGCGTCACTGCCGTCTTCTCCGGCGCATTGTGCACCTCGTCCGCGGAGCCCTCGTCGTCCAGATCGTCGCCGTTGTCCTCGGCCACCTGCTTCTCAACGGGAGCGGCATTGGCCTTTGGGCGACCGCGAGGACGACCGGTGGGCACATAGGCGGCGCGGGCCGCCTTGTTCTGTGGCGGACGACCGCGCTTCTTGGGCACCGCCGGCTCCGCATCGCCGTTCCACTCGCCCGAGGATCGCTTCTTCGGTCTTCCCAGGCCGCGACCAGAGCGCGATATGTTCAGATTGACTGCTCCGGTCGCAGGTCGGCCGACAGGGCGACGATCCTCATCGCTGCTGCCGTCATCGTCGTCGCTCTGCTCATCTGTAAGGATGATAAGAGGGTGAGGTAAGGAACAAGTTAAAAAATGTGGCCAGTGGTAAGAGAAAGTACATTCAAATAAGACAACTTTCAAATTTGTATTGCATACCTCAAGGCGCAGTTAAGTTATAAAACAAGTTCTATGACAAGGGAATTTCAGGACTATTTTTCCGACTATCTTTGGGAACGGTTAATCAACAAAATAGTAATTTTTTCCTTCACTTCGGAGTAAACACAGTTAATTTGTTTTCTAACAACGGTTTCTATTCCCGAAAAAGGTTTCAAACCATAAAATTGACGAGGTTTATAACTGTACTCTACCTGAAACATGTGCAACTCCCCAGGTAGCGTTGGGATAATGTGTAAAAACAAACAAAAGGAGCAATACTCAAATGACTGAATATCGGATATCCGCCGAGTTTCTAGATATTGCATACAAAGACATACAGAAGATAAAAATCTGAGGGGCCTTAGGAAAATTAGGTCATAGTAGGAAGTAATGGCTATTAATTCTTCAAGCAAGCTTTTTGTTTGTAAGATCGAATATCACCGGCACATGTAGTCAATTAAGTTTTAGAAAAACTTTAGTTTATAGTTGAGCAAAAATATCAAATTAATAAATTAAAGTTTTTGTACTCTGTAGAGGAAAAGCTAAAACGTTTTTGACTTGCCTTCATCCTCACTGCCGCTGGGTTGGTGCTTCTTGGGCCTGCCGGCCTTGCGTTTTTTGGCGGATCCTGGCGTCTTGACCACTTCCCCGCCGCCGCCGCCGCTGCTCCGCGGGCGTCCCCTGCCCTTTGGTGGCGAGGGGGAAACGGTGTTGTTCAGCTCCTCCTCGGAATTCTCCTCTTCCTCCTCATCCTCGTCGTCGTTGTTTTCGACTTTCGACGCCTTCGGCGGACGACCCCGCTGACCGCTTCCTCCGCCAACTGACGTATTAGCGCCCTTGTTCTTGGCGGGACGACCGCGCTTTTTGGCGCCGGCCGAAGCCACTGCAGCCGCTGGCGAGCCACCGCTATTGGCAGACTTTGGCGGTCGGCCACGCTTCTTTACCGCTACTTCCTCCATTACGGGACGCGATTAACTTAGCAAGCGAATAAAGAAAATCCCTGTTTCGTTTCCGTTTTCTGCGCCTTTTTCTTAGCGGCGTCCCTTTACTAACACACACAAACACCAACACCGACGCTTGCTAAAAATGCGCTCTCTCTCTCTTTAGCACGCACACAAACACACAATTCGCTCTCACTTATTTTCGCTTGTCTCCTCTTCTTCTTCGCTTTTTGTTTGCCGAAAATCGAGCTGGAAAAAATATATGAAGAAAAGCAAATTTACTAACCGTTTAAAATACGCAAAAATACGAAAAATTATTATGAAAAATTTGCAGAAAAACCCGAATTTTTTAAGAGCTGAAAAACGCTTACTTGCTTGGCCAACTTTTAATTGTAAAATAGGCGCACGCTACTAGTACAGTTTAGGTGGTAACAATCGATGGCACTATCGATGGCTGACCGTACTGAATCGAAACCTAGGTATGGAGCTCAGGTGAAAGCTAGCCGCGGCCCGAACCAGTGTGCTATCGGCAAGTAACCGATCGCAGATTTTAAAATGAATTCTTGAATTTTTATTTCAGGCAGTAAAGTATATTTAAAACTATACATATTCTTACCATAAGCTTGGAATCCTTAAACAAACCGATAATAAAATGTTCAAAAACCAGATATAATATAAAAACAGGTTTAAATTGTGTTTAAAATCCTGGCTTTTACAAATTTTTTTCTAATTATTTTGAAATATTAACATTGAAAAAACCAAATATAACCAGAACAAAAAATTGAAATCAGCTTTGGGAAATTCGGACTTGTTCGAAGGGGAAAAGAAGCTATCAAGTGAGCTTGTCCAAATGTGGAGTTACTACACTGGGCACCTAGCTTACTATGCTGAATAAATATTTCTCAAAAACAGAGAAAAGGGTTTGAGGGAGATTGTTTATAGAACTTGGGTTTCAGGGATACTGTTTTTTAGAATTTATAGCTGGTTGTTAAAATTTTGAAAATAAGAAATGCTATAGAGGTATGCTCAACTTCTTAAGAAGTATTAAACGATTGCCAAATGTTTAAAAGCAACAGTTAATCAAGAGGTTACACATATTGCAATTTATTAGGCTAATCACAGTTGAATAATTAAATACTATAAAGCGGGCGACTACTTCCACAGCTTGATGACACCGTCGCGCGATGCCGATGCTATGTAGATCTGACCCTTGTCCTTGCACATCAGCAGATCGGTGATGGCGTCGTGGTGACTCGCAGTGGGCATGTCCGGTCCGGAGCGCGGATTCTCCTCCGTGGAGGAGCGCAGCTGCTGGGAGTCACCCGTGCTGGCCATGGAAATGATTTGCTCCTCGATCACCTGGCTGCCATCGATTAAACGGGCACTGCAAAAATGATTAGAAACGGTATATATTGTTAAATATTTTTAAGTAGGTAAAATATACCTGTAGTTGAAGGCCACATCTGCCAGATTATCGTTGGCAGCAGGAACTTTGAGGGATGAGTTCTTCGGGTTGCTGATGTCCCAGTACCGGATGCGCTGGTCCGAGCTGCCAGTGAGAATAAAGGGCGAACCATCGACCACGCCACTGAGGATGCCACACGTGGTGGCCGGATCGCTAGGACTGGCGCTCGATAAGGCCGCCACCGGACTGGCCCACAAAACAGCCTGGCGCTGACCCGTTTCGATGTTCCACACGGACACCTCGTTGTTCGACTGCGAGGCGGAGATCAGATACGAAGGCTCCGTGGGATGGCAGGCCACCTTCCTTATCCACGAATCGGCGGGATGCTTGATTTCGGCGATGGGCAAACGGAACCGCAGGTCCCAGCAGATGTGTTTACCTCCGCTGGTTCCGGTGGCCAGCCAAGATCCCGTGGGATCCGCACAGATCGTGGTGATCACTCCGTGCCGCAGTTCGTTCTGCAATCGCCAGGCGCTGTGCTGCATCCGTGTGTCCCAGGCAACAATTCCTCCATAGAGCGTAGCGTAAACTATGACGCTTTGGGTGGCTTGATCGTAGGCATGCATGTCCACCACAGGCCCATCTTTATGATCACTATTCCAAAAAGCGTTAAATTAATACTTAGATGGTTTAAAATAGAATTCATCAAGCTTACTTCTGATCCAGTGCCTGCTGGAGCGTCATCTTGGCGGAGTTCCGATCAATCCGCATCATCAGCATGCTGCCATCCTTGCCGCCAACGGCCAGCGATTGTCCGCTATCACAGGCGGCCAGAGCGTAAATGGGCGTGTTGGCCGAGTAAACCTGCCTGGATTTATTCACCCCCTGGTTGCCGTTCAACTTGCTGCAGTCCCACAGCCGCACGGTTCCATCTATACTGCCGCTGGCGAAGAGCGAACCGTGGGGACGCAGGGGCGCCAGTTTGATCACCGATTCCGAATGCTCGTGCAGATGGGCCACCAGAGTTCCATTCATTCGCCAGCCAGGCGGATAGGGGGTCACCAGCTTGTCGTAACTACAGCGTTGCGAGATGGCCAGCACATTGTACCGACTCTTGATCTTGGCCGTCAGCGATTCGAGATCCTTGCGGCACTCGGAGGAGCGCTCCAGCCAGCAGTTTCTCTCCGGCATGGTGTATTCACCCAGCGAAGTGGCCGCGCTCACGGTGGCCGTTGGCACTCCGAGGACCACAGCTCCGGAGGCAGGACTTCCGGATAATCCGCCAGTACCCATTGGCGTGATAGCTGCATCCGATGCAGGCGACACCAATGGTGGACCCTCGCTAGATCCTGCAAGAAATGGCATCGAATAACATTTTAATACGGGTTGGATGAAACTTTAATAAAATGATATTTTAAACTAATTTATTAACTATTGTTATTTACAAGATCAATTTAAAGCCAAAAGCATAATAATCCTTTCTTAATTTGGAATGATATCATCGCATAAATTCCCACAATCCAGAACTAAAAATATCTAAAAAGGTATACAAGCGGTTACTCAAATATTCGGATGCAAACAAAAACAAAAGCAAATGGGTTTTAAACAATACTGCAAACACTTAAATACACAATCCAATGAACATGAAACCCAAAAAATAGAGTTAAAACTCACGGTTCTCCAGGGGCATTTTGGTGGCCTTGTCCGCCAGCGGATATTCATGGCAACCGACTTGCTTGCGACTGACCACGATGCGTCCATTGCCAGAGGCGGTGTCGTCCAGATCCTGAAGAGACTTGTGCTTCATGGAAATGAGGAATGGATTCATGGCCAGCAGCTGCGTTTCAATGAGATCGGTCAGTCCCTCAGAGCTAAGACGCCTGAAAAGCTGCAAATGAATGTTATTAAATGTTGAATCTATACAAAACTTTAAGCACAATTACTCACATTCCTGAGGGTCTGTCCCATTTCCTCGTACTGCGGCAGAGAGCCTTGTCTAGTCTGACTACGCACCCTCGATCGATCCTCCAGCGCCTTGAGGAAGTGATGAATGTCCTGGAAGCGCAGCACGCTGTCGAAGATCTGCCGAGGCACCGGCGGATGAACGCAGTCCAAAAGGATGTGTGGCTTCTCCACCTGGATGAGTGGCGCCTTGAGGAAAGCACCAATCGCCGGCATTATCTTGCATTGCACATCGATGGCGCTGAGATTGCGGGCAGTCGTGGCTATCATGCCACAGATTTCGTGCCGAACCCACAGATTGGGATGGCACAAATAGCAGGCCGTCTCCTGGACAATTTCCGTCACAGCTGGCTTCTTGATGTGACCCAATTCAATCAGAATGGTCACAGCACGAATGGCCTTTGCGATGACGAACTCCTCGCGATCCGTGAATCCTTGTTGCAGGAGAGGCACCAATATATCCGACGCCTGCCAGCCCACATAGCCAGCCACTCCAGCGATGTTGTCATAGAAGGCTCCCCTCAAGTTCTTGTCCTCGTCGTTCAGGAAGGTCATGATGTGCGAGAGTATCACGTCGTTGGCCTTTTCCTTGCCGAAGAAGGCGCACAGATCGCAGATGCCCGACTCCATCAGCGTTTGCTTGACCACCGGTTGCGAATCCGTCAGCAGACTGAGTACCGCCTGTCTCACAATGTCATGGAGTGCATTCAACTCTGCTTCATAGCGTGGGGTGGGCATCTCGTTCGGAGCATTTCTTTGGGTCTCCTCCAGAAAGTAGACAGCGCTCTTGGCCAAAGCAGCAATATTTCGGGCAAAGGCCACGCGTACGATTACGGCACTCGTTTCGCTGGCCAAGTCCGTGATGGAGGGCAGGATGTACTCAGGAAATACGTTGGCATCGCTGCGCGGAATGTCCTTCACCATGCCCAGACAGGCAGTCAACGTTTCAATGGCCTGAACTTGCACCTTGGCTGGAGATTTCTGGGCCAGATGGAGCTGTAATTAAAGTGAGGAATAAATATCTTAGGATGTGAAATGCTAATCACTGATATAATTACTCACAATATAGGGCAATATGCGATCCAAGATGGTCTCCGATGTTGTGTACTTCGACAGTTTCTGCAGAAGCTCCAAGGCTGCAATCTTGGTGTTCGACTGCTTGAGACCTCGAATGCAGGAAGTGACCACGGTGATAATTAGAATCAGACCATCGTGCTCCGGTGGCAATCGCGCACAGAGCGTGGGATCCTTTTTCTCTTGCTCGCCATCTTTAACCTCCTCCTCGGGAGTCAAGTCTTGCGCCTGTGTCAGCACCTTAATGCAATGGCCAATGTCTTTATGTAAACACTGGATCTTGTCGTCCGGCGACATAATGGGCGTTGAGCTGAACATCTGAAGGTAAGACTGCAGGAAGGAGTAGAAGTATTCGGGAAACAGCTGGCCGCGCTCCTGATCCAAGTAGTCCTCGGCGCTCTTTCGGTTCATCGAGTGGATATCGATCATGGAAGCCAGCAAATGGCGCAGCCTTTCGTTTTCAATGCCGGCTAGATGCTTCTCCACCAGATCTCGCTCTCCTCGCCTGTAAGCCAGCAGCTGGGAGAGTTCAAAGGGCGCAGTGCCCTCCGTCCAGAGTTCCAGCAAGGCACAGCCCGCTGAAAAGATGTCCATGGCTGGCAGCAATGTATTTCCAGCATAGCTGGGCGCCAGGCGAATGATGGAATCGGTATGGATTACCGACATATTGCCATTTCCACCGTCGTCATCCGAGGCCAGGGTTTTAACGAATCTTTCCGGAGCTATGTAGCAGGTTCGCCTTCTACTTGTATCAAAGAAATACGTATAGTCCGCTGGATTGTCCTCCGGCAAATACGTGGGCTTGAAGGAGGCGAAGTCAGAGAGCAAGATCCAGTTCCAGGAGGTGATCAGAATGTTCTCCAGCTTGATGTCTCCGTGGCAGATCTTTTGTTTGTGGCACTGATTCAGGGCGCAAAGGATCTGGAACGTTATCCACTTTTTCTCTAGCACTGTGAGAAAGGGGCGTGTTGAAACGCGATCGTAGAGACTGTGTTTTACATACTCCCGCATTATGTAGGCTGCTTTGTCAATGAGCTGGAAATAGAGGATTATTAATATTTGACTGACATGCATGACTCATTTTATATAAAGATAAGCCAAATTAGTCTATAAAAAGCAATAGATTTTGTTGTAAAATAGGATACATAACTTGAAATACATATAGTTAATCAAAATCAATTTCATTCAAACAGAGCCTAGCAAACAAACCTCAACCCGTTGAAAGGGTAAACAGTTGACTGCATTTGCCAGCGACAGGGTTTTCTTTATGCCCTCCAGTCGCTCCTTGTGATCCTCCAGAGGCAAAGTGGGATCATGTTTTACAAACACCTTGACCACTATCTGACCCTCATCCGTTTTCGCCTTGGCCACTTTAAAGAAGCGAGTACTGCCCATGCTGTGAAAAATTCGTGGGTGTCAATTATTTTCCTATGAAAATCTTCCTTTTCTCTCACTTGGAACTGAAGGTGATTTCGGATCCAAACTGGCCGGAAAAGTAATGCTCCACAGCGTAGATTTGCGAAGGGGCAATGCCCACCAGTTGATTGCCCATCCTGTTTGCAAATGCACTTCCCAGTGCCCGCAGTTATAGTTTATTTTATTAATTTCTTCAACAATAACAAGAAAACGAAGTGTTCGTCTTTTCTGCGCAGCTTAACAGCTGGTGCGTTAGAGGTGACCACGCAATGGGTAATCGGTGTTATCGGAAGATACACTGATCAAAATTTGGTCACGATTGTAAGCAACTTAAAAAAAATTTACAGCGAAAATGTTATCTAGTAATCATAAAAAGTTTATTATTATTACATTAATGCATATAAGAAACCAATATCTTTTTAAAATCTTAAAACTATCGATAAGACAGATAACTATGTTAAACCCAGCCATTCAAAAGAACCGCGAGTTTTTAAATGCCCAAGTAACATTTTTCTCATGTTTAAAAGCAGTAAAAAGTGAATGGACTGTTAAAATTCGTATTCAGATGGGATTCCATAATTTAACTATAAATTCCATATTGAGTTTTTATTATGCTAATAGCTGATATGTAGGGAAAGGTCAGCTGGTCGGGATTAAAGGTAAAGAAAGTAGAGAACAAGAAAAAACTATACACCTCTTTAGCTTCGCATGCCGGACCGATTTAACTGATTATAAATTTATGTATCTGGCACACTGCAATCCATTTCTTGAATAAATTCGAAATGGGCCATGACGACAAGAACGCGAACCCACAAAACAGTTTAAATGACAAATGTGCCGTGTGCCAAGCATTCAATTGGTTCGCTTTAGAAGTTGGAATTATTGGAAAACTTTAAACAGGACATTAAGGATACCCTTTGTTAAACAATAAAAGTGAAAACTCATTAGAGTAGGCGTTGGATTATAAATTGAATCAATTTTAGAGTGAACAAAATTTGTTAATAGAAATGGGAGTTTTAAATTTATACAAAATCATTGAAAACAATATTGTACGTTTACTTGAAAACAAAGACAAACACAAAAATAAACAAATGTTTTCATAAATTTGACAATGTTTTAAATAAATTAATATTTACAATTTCCAAGATCTTTTCTGTTGTTCAAGTTTGTAAAGTGGACAACAGCTTTAACATTCTTGGCATACCCAGTAAAAGCGCTGCAAATGGCTTGTTGATACTCGTATTTACATAAAATGACCAAACAGGCGGCATTAACGAAAACGTTGGCTCCGAATCTGGCTTCCAATGTCCACCAACCAGCATTTCCATTCCGAGAAGAGAACTTTCAAAGCGGACGGTCGTGTGTAAAAAGAAAGTAGGTGGGTAGGTAGGAAACATAAACAAAGTGCCAGGCCAGAACACAGAAAAAAAGACCAAGAACTTGATGTTAACTTGGCTGAATTCGTTATGCCAAGGTTCCAAAGTCTCTAAATGATTCAAGTGCTTCAAAGCAAAATACTTTCCTCTCCGAATCTTGTTATCTTAGTATAAACGATTTTAAAATCAGATATACATATATATTTAAATTAAAATTGGTAGTACTACATATGTAAACCATTCGGAGCTCTGAACATCAAGTACTGAATTGTTTTTTTTTTCTGTGGAAAGCCAAGCGGTTCTACTCTTTCCCCGCTGTCTCTTTCTGCCTCGTTTAAGCGGTTCTACTCTTTCTCCGCTGTCTCTTTCTGTCTCGTTTATTTCTGGAGACGGCAAACCTGACGTGTACAAAGCGCAGGCGTAAAGAATTCCACCGGAGAGTCTTCGCAGAAGCAGAAGCAGGTGAGAGAAATGGAGATCGGAAGGATTGAGAGAGAGAGAGAGAGAGCCAGGTGGCAACGGCAACATGTTCGAAGGCCCCCGGAAGAATCGGTGGCTTAAGAAGTGTTACAAACTGGCGCAGAGTCGCAGAAGAAAGAAAGTTTTCGGCCGAGCTGGTTGCTCTCCGATCCGATCTCCGATCTTAGTAGTATATCTTTGTAGATATATACACATAACCATACCAATAACCATACCGTGTGCTCAGTGGAGCGTCGTCCGCGTTTTGTGGCTGCGTCGCTTAATTGGCCCAAAAGTATCTCAAGTGTGTGATTGTGAAAGTTCCTGAGCAAGAATAGATAATGTACGTGCGACGAGCTCTGCTCCTGGCCTGCTTGCTGTGCCTCCATCCTCTGAGTCCCTCGTTGGCCGAGGAGGATGAATCCAATCCGCTGCTGGACATGGCCTCCATGTTCTTCCAGGAGGCGCTGTCCAACCAGAACGGTGGCAACAACGGTGGAGGTGGTGGCGGCGGCGGAGGCGCTGGGCTGGCGGGCGTGGCCTCGCTCCTGGGCACCTTCATGCAGGCCAACGGAAAGGCCGGAGGAGCAGGTGGCGGCGGCGGAGCAATGCAGATCCTCTCGGGCCTGGGCAGTCTCCTGTCCAAGAACGGCGGTCAGGGCGGTGGCTTCGATCCCTCCATCATCGGCAATGTCCTGGAGATGTTCACCCAGGGCGACGATGAGGAGAGCACCCCCAATCAAAAGCGCAGCAGTGGCGGTGGTTCCGAGTCGGGAATCGGTCTTGATACCATCCTCCAAGTGGCTTCGGCCTTCATGAACAACCAGGGCAGCGATAAAAGCTCCCATCACCACCAGAAACGGTCGGCTGGCGAGGAACCCGAAGGCGACAATGGGCTGATGAACCTCCTGCCCCTGGTGATGCAGGCGGTCAGCTCCTTCGCCGGTCCCGAGGGCCAGAGCACCCAGGAGAAGCACAAGAGCCACGCCTGGGTGCTGCCCCCCTTCCTGGAGCACATCCACGTGCTGTGGGACCACTTCTCCAACTCCGAACTGGCCGATGCCCTCTACGAGAAGTCCGGAGTCAACAAGATCATGAAGGTGGATCTCTAAATAACATTGATGTAGATTTAGGAAGTCTCTTTTAGGAATTATGTTGATCTTATTTTTTTGGGTTTTCATAAAGGTTTTTTTTACAAGATAAAAATATACTTAAAATTACTTAACAGAAGTTAAATTGAAAATTAAAGTGAAAAAATGAATTAAAAAGATTTTCGGATATGTAGTTTACCCATGCTCAGAATAATACTAACTTACTATTTGGTAGTATTACAATTCTCCCGCCTTTTAGAAATTAAAGATTATTAAAACCCTACCAATTTATTTGATTCCGTTATAAATCCTTCAGGTTCTAATCTTATTTTAAGATATCTTTTTCTATTTCATTCTAGTTTTATTGAAATCCTTACCTAATTACATTTACTAATAATAATCTAATCTCGAATTCCAGGGCTTCAAGGGCAGCGATGGCAAGCTGGACTACGACAAGCTGTTTGAGTCGCTGAACAACCAATCCTTCCGCCGGAGGTGGATCAAGTCGGCGACACTCTACCTGGCCGACTGGGCCAGCTACCTGGCCAATCCCGATGTTTATCTCAGGTGAGCTCTTAAGTTCTTGGCCGGCTTACGTGGCTCAGAGCCGCAAAGCGTGTTAATTGCGGATCACCGGATCACGTTCTGCTCTGCAACGGTCCTAATGCAGTTAGCACCTGGGCGCGATTCTTGGAGCAGGTCCAACTCCCAATTCGATGGCCACTCCGATTCCCAAACAGCTGCTCTCCACTCCAGCTTACCAGTGCTAACCAAAGCATTTCCCGTTAGCGACAACCCGTTTGCCATCGAGCATGTTCGATGCGGCTACCTTTGACCCACTTTTTTCGGCGCTGGTGCTTTTAGAACGTGCCTGCTAATCCAACTGGTCAACACTCCATTCTGAAGTCGCAAGTTCCAAGTGCCAAGTGCCAAGTCCAGGCTCTGATACAGTTATAGTTGATATGCAGAAGATATGTACAGAAGTCAACGGCATCGTTAAAACAAACAAATAAACAAAGCGGGCCAAAACCGGTTGCCACTTCGGCCGGGGGAAAATGGCTTGAGAAGGCTTGGTACACTGGTCCGAATAATTAATTGCTTTTATCCGAATATAAATACAATTTCGCCATTAAATAATACAAACATAATACATAAACCTTTAGAAAAAGGAGATAAAAGTTGAAAGGTACTAACTTGATTTTAAGCAATTTATTGAATAAAAACTACCAAGTCCGTTCTCATATTCTTCAGCTTGAGTACTTTATATTAATTTCTCGAAGTGCACAACTCGGAATCAGACATTTTTGCATGGCTCCAAAGTGGGTCAGCCTTCTCAGACCTCTTGGTCTTCTATTTTGTCTATTTTTCGTTGCTCCATCATTGGACGGCAACAACAATGGCAACAACACCAGTGAACAACTTCCACTTTCTAGCGACCCTTTCACTCGACTCGCTGCTGCGTCATCGAAACTCATCAATTGTCCGCCTTTTGACCACTTTTCTTCTACACCACTCACACATATATATACACACACACACAGGTACTTCCAGACGGCTCAGATCATGTTTAACGGGCTGCTGAAGTCTCAAGGTTACCCCAAGCAGACCCACTTCGATCCGTCGCGACCCGGCGAGACCATCTCCAACCTGCTGGACCATGTGGCCAAGCACCATCTGAACGTGAAGATCGATTCGCGGCAGTACGTCAAGCCGGCGGTGGGCTACGCCAAGGAGCTACTGAAACTGGGCCAGGCACGCGGACTGCTGCAGTTCAACGCCACCGAGATCAGCGACAAGCTAACGGACACGCTCAACCTGGAGGTAAGCAGATTCTCCGATCTCCGATCTGGGAACTGGGAACTGGGTTACCCGCCCGGTAATTGCAGCTCTTTATCTGCCGATAGGAAATAGCTAAGGTGAAATGGAATACGACTAATTAAAAGAGCAGTTCTAGGAATCAGCAGGTTTAATTTACTAAACTGATCTCCCATTTGTAATGATGTTAGAACTTTATGAAGCTAACGAGTAAACATGAGTGAGAAGAACATTGTTTAAAGAAATTTATTAAATTCCAATACCTATCTTCCATTCTATTTATATTTTGTATTGCTATTACCAACTGTGTACTATCTATGCTATTAAACAATGCTTTTGTTATCATGACTTAACCTTAGTATCTCCCAAATCTTAAATGCTAAGCTGTGAGCAAATTAGACTAATTACACCAATGTTTTCTCCCCTTTTCCGCGACATTGGACCCATTGGCGAGCAGGTTATTGAACCGGTGCTGAAAGTCCACCGCGCCTACAGATACATCTCGAAGTCGCCGCAGTGCGATCGCTACGTGCTCTGCCAGCTGAATGCAGCCGCTCTGGAGCAGCAGGAGAAGCAGAGGCAGCACGACCAGTACCAGCAGCACCACCAGCCGAAGCAGCACCAGCAGCACCACCAGAATCGTCAGACATCGGCCTCCGGTTTAATTGCCGGAGTCAGTCCGAAAATCGTCAAGATCGGCAGCATGGGTGCCGCGATCTTCATTAGCACGGAAACCGGTACGCCGTTCTGGACGCTATTCGGTGTGATCAATGCGCCATACAATTGCGAGGTGAGTAGCGGCCACACAGGTGCACTTAAAGAAAAAGATTTCGATTTAAGAGCTACAAAAAATACACTTGTTTTAGGCAGAAAACTCAAGCGATTTGAAATTGCCTTAAGGGGCTTACCAACGTCATTTTCTAATCGGTACTTCATCTTAGTTACTTAATGGAAATAGGTTGTTTTTAATCAATTCTAAAACAACTTCGATCTAATTACAAAATATTTTCTTCTCTGTATTCATTTTTTTCCAACGCTTTCTAACCGCTATTTCTGCGAATGCCCGCCGACAACAGGCCAAATACCCAGTCGACTGCAATGGTTTCCACGAGGGCGAGGCCAAGGTGACCACCGAATACATCCACAACGAGTTGTAGTTGCCCCAATCCAGGTGCGGATCGAGTTCGGGATCCGGAGGAGAAGGAGAAGGGGAAGTTAAAGGCTCATTAAGACGATTTAGCTGTAATTGAGATAAAGATTTCGTGTGTATATAGTATTACGGATTGAAATACATTTAAATTTAAACTAACCTATTTAGTGATCATAGATAGTGAAAGCTTTTATTGTATAAACATTGGGGCACTACGTTTCATAAACAAATAAACACTAAAAAATCGGTTATGGAAAAACCGTACCTTACAAACTGGAACTCATATGGGTCATAAATCCAAAAGATCATTAGTTGTTATCTGCAGATTGCTTGATCTTTATTAAGTCAACGAACCGTGGAAGAAAAGCTTTCCAACTACAGTCAGACTTGCCTATCATTTGTGACAAAAAAAACAAACGTGCAATAGATTTTAATCAGTTTTCACAGAAGGTTACTTGAAGGTTTGTTTCGGAGCTTGATCTTTGTTTTTATGGTTTAAAGCTTTTCTCTATCAACGCTGTTTTGCCTTTGGGTCATTCTGATTTGGTTTTTCGCACGCAACAGTCGGGATATTATTGCCATGCAGCTGATCTATCGTGATCTGGAGGCAGACGTAGTTCGTCGCACAAATGCCGTCTTTCTGGCCCAAAATTTTTGGGTGGAGGTGCTTCCCGACCAGTTTATCATCCCCAGGAAATACGTGGAACTGGGCGAGTCCATTCGCTCGCTGCCTGTTTTCGAGGACGACGTCTGGATGGTGTCCTATCCGCGCACAGGATCCTCTTGGGCCCAGGAAATGGTCTGGCTGCTGGGTCACAAGCTGGATTATAAGGCCGCAGAGCAGGACGTGCGAATGCGATCGCCATTCATTGAATTTTCCGCCTTGTTCAGTATGGATCATCATAAGGCGATGGCGTGAGTAATGGAATCATTGAAACATATATCTGGGAAAAATTCAATTTTCTCTTTGCGCGGCAGCCAAAAGTTTGGAAATACCGTGGAGCTGGTTCGCAATCTGCCACGCCCCCGATTCGCCCGCTCCCACTTGTCCTGGCAACTTTTACCGGAGCAATTCGAGACTGTGAAGCCGAAGATCGTTTACACAGCCCGAAATCCCAAGGATCAGTGCGTTTCTTACTATCACTACCTCAAGATGCGGCAAGGATTCATTGGGGACTTTGATCAGTTTGTGGACCTCTTCCTGGATGGGTACGCTCCAATTGGTCCCTACTGGAAGCACGTGCTGCCCTTCTGGAAACGGAGCCAGGAGGAGAACGTGCTGTTCATCAAGTACGAGGATATGGTTAAGGATCTGCCGAGTGTGGTGGGACTCTGTGCCCGATTCCTGGGTGTTGAGAATCTCCTGGATGCCTCCAGTCTGCAGAAACTTTGCGACCACCTTACCTTCGACAAAATGCGGTCCAACATGGCTATTAATCTGCCGAAGCCGTACTCAAAGTTTATTCGCAATGGCAAAATCGGAGATTGGCGGAACCACATGGGAAACGAGATGTCGGAGCGATTTGATGAATGGATCGAGCTGCACTTTCGTGGTTCTGGACTCAGCTTTGATTACGAGTGAATTTTATTGGGAATTTTGTTATATTTCATATTTATATTTCCCTAAACCAATAAAATAGAATAAAATTACTTGCAAGTATCAACTTTTTATTTACAGGTAACGATGAATCGGATTATTAGTTTGTTGTTCGTTTTTTGTGCAATTGGAATATTAGGTGCGGATTCACCGTTTACATCTGAAGAAAAGGAACACATAAAAGACAATATATATATCTAATATATAATAATATATATATTTAAATATATTTAAAGGATTAGTAACAACTGTCCTACAGTACAGTTAAGGGGAGGGTAAGGTTTTAAAAATTTTTTTTTAATATTTTTTTTTTTTTTTTTTTCTGAATGATTAATATGTCGAGAACATTGTGTAAAAATTTTGAGTCAATTAAAGTCAAACTAACGGAGTTACAGCGTTTTAAACAACCGTATTTGGGCGTATTTTCACGTATAAAAATACTTTGAATCGATTTTGCCGAACACGCTATTTTCAAAGTCGGTGCCCCTAATAACTTCAAAACTACTGCACCGATCCTTTTGAAATTTTAAATACTATTTCTGTACATATTTTACGAGGTAACGCTGTCGAGTTTTTTTTTTTTTTTTGTTCATAATTTTGATTTTGCAATGAAAAAATTACCGATTTTTTCCCAAAAAATTGTGTTTTTCACTTCAAAATCTTCCAAAAAATTAAAAAATTGCAATTTTCAAAAAAACTTTACAGCGTTACCTGGGGCGAACTATTATCTAACGAATGAATTTTCATTTTTTGATTTCGGATGATCCAGCACCGAGTTATGAGGGGCACCGCAATTCAACTTTTTTTGGCGACACGTCCGGACAATTGCTACCATTGCCACATTTTTTAATATTTTTTTGTAAAAATTTGGTAAAACATTCTTCTAATGTCATACCTTAATATACCGTTGGTTGAATAAATAAATTTTAACTATGTCGTCAGGAAAAAAATCTCAAAAACATGGCTTTTTTCGCATGATTTGACCTTACCCTCCCCTTAAATAATGATGTTTACATACGATCTTTAATTTTACAGTGGTAACATCTGTTTATATAACTTATTTTAAAGAACTGAAATGATATATTCATAAGGGTCAAAAATCCAAAAGATCATGAGTTGTTATCTGCAGATTGCTTGGTCTTTCTTAAGCCAACAAACCGTGGAAGAAAAGCTTTCCAACTACAGTCAGACTTGCCTAAGAGGTATCATTTGTGCCTAAAAAAAAAACAAACGAGCAATTGACTTTAAACTGCATTTTAATCAGTTTCACAGAACACATAAAATATCAAATTAGTTTTTACTCGAAGGTTTGTTTTGCAGCTTGACTTTTGTTTTTATGGTTTAAAGCTTTTCTCATTCAAACCAGTTTGTGTGTGTGAAAACCCGCCAGGGGCATTTTCACCATTTTCCATTCAGTGGCTCTTTTCAACTTGCATTCGCTGTTTTGCCTTGGGTTCATTGTGATTTGGTTTTTCGGAGGCAACAGTCGAGATATTATTGCCATGCAGCTGATCTATCGGGAACTGGAGGCAGACGTAGTTCGTCGCACAAATGCCGTCTTTCCGGCCCAAAATTGCTTTGTGGAGGTGCTTCCCGACCAGCTGATCATCCCCAGGAAGTACGTGGAACTGGGCGATTCCATTCGCTCGCTTCCTGTTTTCGAGGACGACGTCTGGATGGTGTCCTATCCGCGCACAGGATCCACTTGGGCCCAGGAAATGGTCTGGCTGCTGGGTCACAAGCTGGATTATGAGGCCGCAGAGCAGGACTTGCGAATGCGATCGCCGCTCATTGAGCTTTCCGCCTTGTTCAGCACGGATCATCACGAGGCGGTGGCGTGAGTAATGGATTAAAACTTAGTTCTGGGAGAAGAAATTAAATTTTGTTTAAGATTATTTTTAAATTATTTATTAGTCATTTTTATTAGTATTATTAGTAATCACACATTTTACGATTACAGCTTTTGTCTTAAATTAAACTTTCTCTTTGCGCTGCAGAAAAAAGTTTGGAAATACCGTGGAGCTGGTTCGCAATCTGCCACGCCCCCGATTCGCCCGCTCCCACTTGTCCTGGCAACTTTTACCCGAGCAATTCGAGACTGTGAAGCCGAAGATCGTTTACACAGCCCGAAATCCCAAGGATCTGTGCGTTTCCTACTATCACTACCTCAAGTTGCTGCACGGAATCAATGGGGACTTTGATCAGTTCGTGGACCTCTTCCTGGAGGGGCACACTCCGATGGGCTCCTACTGGAAGCACGTGCTGCCCTTCTGGAAACGGAGCCAGGAGGAGAACGTGCTGTTCGTCAAGTACGAGGATATGATCAAGGATCTACCGAGTGTGGTGCGTCGCTGTGCCCGATTCCTGGGTGTTGAGAATCTCCTGGATGCCTCCAGTCTGCAGAAACTGTGCGACCACCTAACCTTCGACAAAATGCGGTCCAACAAGGCTGTTAATCTGGAGCAAGTGCTGCCGGAGTCGTCGTCAAAGTTTATTCGCAATGGCAAAATCGGAGACTGGCGGAACCACATGGGAAACGAGATGTCCGAGCGATTTGAAGAATGGAGCGATCTGCACATTCGCGGTGCTGGACTCAGCTTTGATTACGAATGAATTTTATTTGGAATTTAGTTTAACAGTTTTATATTTAACAGTTCTCACATAAAAATGTTATTTTTCAATGTTCTTATCGCTACTTTTTTCGGGTATTTTAGGTCTTATCAAGCGCACAAACATTGAAAAAGGCTGCTGTTAGTTTAATCTTGAACAGTCGTCTTCGTTCATTCTTCAAATCTAACACAGTTTATTGCGGACTAAATTCTTAGAATTTCTTAAAATTGGTAAGAATATTTGAAGGCATTTTTCTAATTCAAAGTTTGTGTAGAGTAAAAATTAACCTTGCAATGAATAAAAGGGAATATTATAAAATTATAAGCAAGTATCAACTTTATATTTTACAGGAAACGATGAATCAGTTTATTAGTTTGTTTGTCGTTTTTTGTGCAATTGGAAGATTAGGTGCGGATTCACCGTTGACATCTGAAGAACAGGAACACGTAAAAGATAACCTCGAAAAAATATATAATTCTTGGCAACGGAAAAGGCCTACAGACAAGTTTCACAACAACCGTGACAAAATATTTGAAGGACTAGTAACAACAAGTCGTACAGCACCGTTTAATAGTGATGATTCAAAACCGGATCAGAAATGGGACTTCGCCGGTAATCGCAAGGAAAAGCGAGGCTGTGGGTTTCCAAAAATGGGTGACTCTAAAAGTTCCTGGACTGTTCGCATAATGAATGCCGACCACTCTTCTTTTTATGGATCCCTGATTCATCCGCAAGTGGTTTTGACTGCGGCCCACCATATAAGTGTGTGGGAAAAATATAAGGTTCGTGCTGGTAAATGGGATGATAAAATAAGCGTCTTAAAGACTATGGTTCACCCGAAATTTGACCAAAGAAATCTCGCTAATAACGTGGCACTATTATTCCTGGCCAAGTCTTTCTCTTTGGACGACGACATCAATGTGATTTGCTTGCCAGAACAAGGAGGTATTCCGTCGCCCGGAACCGAATGTTTCTCCAGTAGTTTGGTTTTGCCCATAATCGAGTTTTACAAATGCCAAGATCAGCTTAGGACCCGCAGCGGGACTTCCTTGCATAATACGTTCATTTGCGCCGGAGGAAAACGAGGAGTCGATACTTGCCGAGGCGACGGAGGAGCTCCACTTGCGTGTCCAATTGGATCAGCACATGGGCAACGCTATCAGCTGAGTGGAATAGTTTCATGGGGGATTGACTGCTACCAGGAGGTCCCAGCAGCTTATACCAACGTAGCTTTGTTCCGAGACTGGATTGACATTCAAATGAAAGCCCAGGGCTTGGAAACATCTGTTTACACCGCCTGGTAATAGGTATTATTGTAAAAGAAGTTGTCAAAATAAACCTACATGATTTTATATTCAGATATTTACGACCTTTGATTTAACAATGGTAACTTCTGTTAATATAAGTTATTTTAAAGAACTGATATGATATATTCGTTTTATTGGTGTATGTCAATTTGTTTAAAGTTAAAGATTGAACCCAAAAGGAGATCGTAGCTCTGATAACATGGAATTATTTTTTAAACCGATGTTAAAGTATTTGTTAACATTATTCGATCTGTTCTGTTACGCGGTCAGTTAAATCGATAGTTGCTAACAGAGTTATCGGGACTTGCCGGTCTTATTGTTTACTTTTGTTATTTTTGCTGAACTTTTTGTTCAAAATTAAACTAAGTGTACAATGACTTGTGATTCCACCGAGGCCCTCGTAGCCCACATGTGCGAACTGGTGCAGTTTTACATGCTGCCGGAACTGAAGGAGGATCTGGACAACATCCAGTTGGAAGCGTCGCAATTTGCGAGCTATCATTCCCTGCTTATTCAGGACTTGCCCAAGCTCTACGATTTGGTTCAGGAATTCCTTCAAAAGAGTGGTGATGCAGGACACGAAGAGGTTTGACTTTTCAATGTAGGCATTCCATTTATAACAATTTTTTTATTTTTAGTTGAGAGTAAAACTTATTTTGCTGCTATGCGAGTTAACTGCAGCTCCCACAGTTTACCAACTTAAGAATGATACCGAAAATCTCTTACGGAACGCCAATGAGTTGGCCAAGAAGCTATCTTCTAACTGGTGGGAGTCTACGAATGTCCAAATCCTGAAATACTACGAGCAAAAACTTCACAGGACCTGCTGGAAGAAACAACTAGGAGCAGTTCATGGCTTTGGTAGATACTTGGAGGTAAAGAGTCGTATTTTAAGTGTCCGTATAAAGTATTATATTTAAATCCATCTTCATTTAGCTGCGTTACAGCAATAAGTCCAGAATGACCACCCAGATGCTAGCATTCGCTCTTTCTGTTGGTCTCAATGTGAGGGAATGCTATGATTCCATTTACAAAGAACTTGGCGTCAAGATCTTCTCCGTTATGCTGAAATTTAGCGTAGGTGTGAGGTTTTTAAACGCAAGGAACAGTAAGATTACTTTTATTTTCAGGATACCAAAGACATTCAGGAGCTGAATGTACACAGTGTGATATACGACCATGCTCTCAAGGATGCCTACAACATGGAGTCAATTGAAGCCATCGATTCTGTTTGGAATTGCTTGTACCTATGCTTGGACCACTTTGTGGACCTTGATGCCTTTACGGTAGATTTCAACACATATATTTGAAATATCTAAAACTATTATCATAACACGATTTTTAGTGGAACCAATGCGACGACATGCTGGACCGCCTTATCCAAAACGTGACCATGGCTTCTAGCCCGAAAATCTCCATTTGCCTGCTGCAATTCATCACACGACTGGGTTATTATTTCACCATTAATCGCAGTGACGTCGAAGCTGCACTGTCCGCAGATCTTAGTCAACCCGACAAGTTGGCTGCTTGTCGGGAAGAATGTCTTGCTCTGAACGCTAGCACTAGCTATCGTTGGGCTAAGGCCATCCTCCAAATGCTCGTCCTGGAATCGGATAAGCTGCTTCAAGGAGTCGAAGTATGTACGGAACTACTGCAGCAAATGTTGAGATGTTATCTGGTGTGCATTTTGCCTATTCCTCTGCAAGCTTTGCAGCCCCATCTGCCAGAATTTTATGGAAAGTTTGTGGCTGTGCTTATGGAATGCCTGGTGACCCATAAGCATGCACCATCCGTTCTTAAGGTGAGATTTCCGTCAATCACTCAACTTCTAATTTGATTGTGTTCCTCTTCAGCTTGTTCAGCGCTTCACGGAAATCTTTAGCTTTCAACTGGAAAACCAATCGATCCAAAAGATAACTGCAAGTTTAGTAGAATTCACAGAGGCTCTGACAATTATACAGCGGAAGATTTCTGAATAAATTGCGGGACTTTATGTTGTGTAGTGATCAATCAATATACGATACACGAATGTTGCCAAAAGAGTGTGTGGTACAAGGCCCATTAGAGCAGGCTTCCATCCGAAAAAAAATCCTCTGTAACCATGTTTTTGTACAACTTTTCGGCACATATCTACATAGGAAAAGGGACCATAGTGGGAGGAATCATTCAGGATCAATATGGCCACTGAATCCACAGGCGTCATGATGACCGTGATAATGCCACCTGTTAGAGCCATCGTAATGAGATCACTGAGCCAGGGTTCATGGATTCCGTGGACCTTCGATGTCACAATTGAGACTTTTTCGCTTACGGGGGTGTACAGCATGGCCACGGATGTGCTAGCTAAAGCGTTGATCTTCCAACCGTTGAATAAATATAAGAGTCCGCCTTTTCTATACATGCACATGAGTCCTTGAAAAAAATTCCGATAACTATAAAAGAATAACCTTAATATCTTTGAATTTCGTATAAAAATGAAGCAAATGTGTAAAACTATTTAGAACCTAACACTAAAATGTACTGGTCTGCCACAGAATTATAAATTCTATTTGGTTGACGACCGCTCAAAGTTTGAAAGTGTTGAAAAAAAAGGTCCTTTCGAATAAACTTGATTTCTTACTTGCGCCGTTCGTAGGGCCCGCGTGTTATATCCGCCTGTCTAATGACCGCTAGCTTCGCGAACGGTGTAGCAAAGACTCCGCCCCAAAAACCAGTTATGCCCAGGACCGTAGATGTGTTATACGGCCTTAGCATCTGCACATACTTGTTATCTTGCAGGTTATAGAACAGCGTGTAACTGGACAACGTGTGAACACCGCAACGCAAACCAGAGGCCACAATTCCGTAATAGAAACCAGGCAGCCCGTGCCTGGACATCAGCCGGAACATGTGGCTTACGGTAAGCCGACTGTGTGTAATCACATTCGCTTGGATATTCACCCGAGCCAGTTCCATTGGATGCGAAAGCAGCTGGGCCATCATCTTGATCAGAAAGCCTACATACACGGGCATCTGAACGAACTTTTCCATCGTACTGCCCGCATCACTATTATTCATATTTTATACAAATTTATATATTCAGAAGAAATTTTAACTGTATGGTGTGTAAAAAACTAAGGCTACTCGCACTCTGCCCTTAATTTGACGATCTCCAACTGCGTTTTTTTCGCCTCCAACATGGTAACGGTTCGTTTCAGTTCGGCGATTTCGTTCATCTTGGTAAAGTAGTCAGACTTGGCCTCCAGATACTCCGTCTCCGCCTTGATAAGATCCTTCTGGAGTCTGTTGGCATCGGATTGCGGGATCACCAGTTGATCCAGGTCGCTCAGGTAGCTGACCAAAGTGGTTTCTGGATTGCGCCCGCTGCTCTCATCTTCGTCGAGAAGTTTATCCAGTAGACTGCTGGTCGAGATCTCGATTGTGGATGCAGTTGCCTCCGGTTCGGAGGTGGAAATTGAGAATTTGGATTCCGCTGGCTTGGATTCCACGGCCCCTGAACCCGTCCTTGTGGCCAGCTCCTCGGTTAGGTCCTCCCGGAACTTAGAGCAGGATTTCCTGAAGACACAATTCGCTGTAGACTGTACTCGGAAAATAGCGGGAATCTTGTTTATACGGACCTGTGGATAATTAGCCTGTCAATACTGGTGTTTGACTGACATTTTCGGCAATGAATGCACAGGGCTCGGTATTTTTTGGGCTCTCCTTCCTTTCCTTTCTTGAACGACGGTAGGAATCCTAGTTTTTTCCATGTTGCGTCCTTGGAAACGCCGCGAAATCGCTTTTCTTTTTTTACCACCGACATTCTTTTACATTCAGCTTGTGTTAAATTACGCGTATGTGTGCTGCTGTAAAAACAACGAATGTATCGATATAAAGAACTTTTGTTATCGATGGTCGCTATGATTTGAAAGTTAATTACAGATAATATGATTTGAGTTATAAAAAAATTATGCAAAAGACCGAGACCCATGCTATGGGGATGCTTTATTCGATTTATAATTTAAAAACTGTATAAATCAGTAAGGATGTGATATTTATTGCCGTGCTGTAAAAGATTAATTATTTGTACTCTGTGACATAAAAATCTATAACAAAACGAAGAAATCAAATTTTTTGTTTTTTTGTAGAGCCTGAATGTGATTATAAAACACATTAAAATTTGGTAATATGACATACGATGGCATGATTTTGGAAACCGAAGGGATTTTAGATTTCAAATTGTGATCCCTTCACAACACATTATCTTAATGCTAAAATTTGGGTAGCATAAAATATGAATAACAATATATACTTCTTGATATATTTTATGTCTTAATTATTTAAAACTCGAACCAAAATGATTAAAAAACCAACTGATGTGTTTCAAAAACTGATATCTATCGATATATCGATAAGTGTTGTTGGTTGCTAGCGTGGATTTTACCTCCAGCTGTAGAGTAGCCATTTTTATTAGCATAGTGTATAGTACATAACAATTTACGACGCTTTCTGCATTAAAAAATGCCACGAAAAAAATCTGAAGAGTTTTACAAGACTCATGGGTTCACGGCGAATTTTGAAAATGGCAAATATTCGGCCACCTGTCATAATTGCGACCGGGTGCTCCAAAATACAGCGCTTTCCCGCCTATCATTACATAGGTAACCATACATACATATCATTTGGTATTATGTTTACATACGTCAAGTAATTTCAATTTAATTGTAGGCAGACCTGCGATTCTAGGCGAAGTAGATGTCCTGTAACATACCATACGGACATGAACAAGGATCAAGAGGAAGAGGGTCCCCGGATCAAGGTAACTATCTTTAGAAACTACTCTTAATAATATTCAAGAAGCTCAATGCTTTTCGCTCCATTATGTAGATCCAGAAAATTTCGGGCGACGAAGATGACGGCGGCTTGGAAAATGCTGGCGAGGGCAAAGAGATAATAGTTAAGGTAAGCACTTGGGACCCATCAAGTCTCCGAAAACTAAGTATTCATTTTTTACCAGATTCAGCAAATTTTGGATGCTGAGGCAGAAGCGGAACCCGTCAAATCACAGCCCAGGATCAAAACAGAGATCCGCAAAGTGAGTACTCCCCAGAACAAGGAACCGGTTGAGCAAAGCATAGAATTTGAAATCTCAAACGTCGAGGAACAAAACCGTGATTGCGAGTATATGGAGGAAAGCAAAGAAGTGAGCATTTTATATTTACCTAATATATATTGCACTTCTAATATCTATGAAGCAGCATTACATATTGCAGCAAAATGCGGACGATTTGGTCAATGGAACGACAACTTTCGTCGAGGCTAGGCCAAGGAATCATTTGGCCTCCCTGAAAGCGGATAAGACAAGAGCGGAGATCCGACAATATCAAAGCAAGACCAAGTTCCTGAAAACGGAAACTAATAATTTAAAACTCGAGCGAACGCTGACTTTGCTCCGTATCCAGAAGCTACGTTTGGAAATCGATGCCCTTCGCGCTCAAAATTAATTTTAGCCCTAGTGTTATGGAAAGCCCTTGTAAGTGTAAGCATACTGACCCCTCCAAAACCTCTGTATGGTTGCTATGAAATGGGAAACGTGTTTTTTACTGAACATCGCTTAATTATTTGGAAAAATTATTTAAAAAATAAAAAATTTAAACAAATCTTACGTTTTCTTGAGTAACATCGTCTTCCTAGCGTTGGCAAGATTGCAAGAATATAAAAGTTTCAAGGAACCAAAAAAATAGATTTTGTTATAGAAATTAAAAATAAAAACATTTGCTTAAATGCATACGTAAATCGATACTTTTCTTTCTTTGACAACCCTGTCAATAGAGTACTCGATAACATTTCGCAGCAACTCTGCTCATCACATGATAGCCAGAGAGAATTCGGGGAGGAGGAAAGGTTTTTCTTTGCAGTCGTTCGTCATATGATTAAAAGTCCAGCGGAAAACTGAAAATGTTGCGAATTTGCGTGATTTTCTCGCTGTTTATTGCAGCCAGTAAGTACAACTACCATTAATACAGGCGAGGAAAATATTTCCAACATGCGAAAGGAGGTTTTAAACTGGATATTCTTTATTCATCGTTTCTGGCTCGGGGGTGGTGACACCCAAACCTCGGGACTTCTGAGTGTTCCTCATATGCATGCGCAGAATCTTGGACTAAGGAGAAAAGTACCAGTGGTATAAAAATTGTTAAGGAATATTTTTCCTCTTCCACAGTTAATGCCGCTGGCGAATTCACGGTTCTGAACCGCCCGAAGGCAATCAGTTTCAAGGGCAACGATGCACTGGAGAGCCAATACGTTGGCGACGTGCTCTACGCTTCGCTGGGAAACGCTGTCATCGGGGACTCCAACTGGAGCGGACTGACGATCAATGATCCCTTCAACCTGGCCAAGGGTGTCATCGTCGTTCACGTTCAGGGTCTTGGACACGTGACTACCGCCGGCAATGTCAAGTCCTACGAACTGACGGGATCCTCAACTGATGCCTCCCTGAATGCCTTGGCCGCTGAATTGGAGGCCGCCAATGAGCCCGTTTGCGACATCAACTTCGAGCAGTTCGACGATGGTGTAAGTGTTCCTGAAGAGGGGAAAACCATATCAGAGGCCTTACGGAATTTCATTGGCCTTGCATAAATACCTGCGCAAAGTGTTAGTAATATAAATCACATGATGCAACATTAATTTTTGCGTAAAAAGGTAGATTTCTTGTGTTTTAACAATAGAATTTCGTATGTCTGATGTGGTTCCTTCTTTAAAGTAAACCTGAAAACAAAATAACTTAAATTGCATAATTTTCTAGGTTCAAGCCTGGAAATCGTGTTTTGGCGACTTCGAGGCCCCAGCTGCCAAGCCCTCCAAGCACCTGAACCCCACCCTGCATTCCGCCGACAAACAGTTCCTGCAGGAGGTTGGATTCGTCAACAGTGCTGCCGATCACCTGGCTGAGATGGCCAAGCCCTCGAATGTTCTGCTGCTGCGCGTGTCCGTCGATGGAGTAGCCAAGGCTCATGGCGAGAAATCCGTGGCCGTGGATGAGGCCAACAAGCTGCTGTCCGCTGCCATTGGTCGCCTGCTGGCCGCCTCCCAGAAGTCCAGCGACTCGGTCCTGTTTGTGCAGACCACGGAGAAGGATATTGCTGTGTCCCGCGCTAAGCGTGAAGCCGTGCCTCCCAACACCAGCAGCAACCCTTTCAACCTGGCCGTTTACTATAACAGTGACTACCCGGTGATCTTCAACATCATCCTATGGTTCATGGTCGTCTTTGGACTGTCGCTGCTGGCCATCTGCTATGCCATCGCTGCCATGGATCCCGGCAGGGACTCCATCATCTACCGCATGACTTCCACCCGCATTAAGAAGGATAACTAAACGTGCAGGAGGAGGAGCGAAGGATCGAGAGGAGCTTGCGTTACGCTTTGTTATTTCGTCCCCTTTTTGAGTTGCAATTGGCCAACTTCTACTTCAATCCAACAGCGGATAAATTGTGTGTATGTGTGTGTGTGCAAACAGCTGTCGCAGTAGTTGGTTAAATTATCTATACATAAGTATTAACAAACTTATCAGTTTTCGATGCAGTTGCGGCTGAGCAACAATTCCATAGTAATTTGTTATATTTTCCTGTTTTGTTGTACTTTTTAGGTTTATATATATACGAATATGCACAACATACTCGCCAAGTCAGTCAGTTCTTCAAATAATTCATCATATGTAAATTACCAAAATGTGGAGTGTTAAAAAGTAACGTTAAATATATATAGCCTAAAAAGACAAATGGTTCGTTTTAATTGGCACCAATTTTTGGGAAATATTTTAAAGCCTAATCAGTCACGAATAATGCTTCATATATATTATTTTATTGCACTTATGAAAAATTAAAGCTAATGCTTTTCCAAATAGTAACATTTAACAGAAACCTTAGTGTTTAAATGGTATTTTCACAATATAAGTTTTGGAGAGCATGGTAATTTGGTGGGGCAACCGCCATTGATTTTTCTTTGGCAAACTGCAGATTTCTTTGAAGTGGATAATTACTAGGATTAAATCTATGATCCCCAATGATCGTTGGCATTATCATAGGGGGAACTACTCCCACCGCTCCAGGCACAGCATCCACTGCCATTTTGGGCCGCTGAACTCTCGCGCAGCATGGCCTGAAGGTGATTTATATAGTTAATGGCAATCCTGCAGAAAAAGATATTTGGTTAACACATAATTTAGTGAGAGAACAATTTTCACACCCACCTCAAGCTCTCAATTTTGGAGTACTTTTTTCCGTTCGGCTTGGAAATAGGCAGCTTGGAGCGCAGTAAATCGAAAGCGCGATTCATGTCCCGCATCCTGGTTCTCTCCCGATCGCAGGCGGTGCGTCTGTAGTCCTTCTCCATCTGCAAGGCTTTCTCCCGCCAGGCGGGATTGTGTTCCTTCGAGATGTCCACCTCTGTTCCGTTGGAAATACCTCCGCCGCCGTAGCTCATGTACATGGGTGGTGGCACCAGCTCACTGGGCTTACTGCCCTCCAATCCCACTGGTGAACCAGAGGCTACCTGTCCGGTATGCCACATCGACACCGGCTGGGGAATCACACTATACGTAGGTGGCAACAGACCCAAGCTGGGCGACTCTTTCTCGTAGCCACCCATCAAGGTGGGTGAGTAGTTGTGCGCCGGAACTGGCGCATAGGCCAGCAGACCTGATCCATCGGGGGTTAGGGTGTAGTTAAGACTAACGGCTGGACAACTGGCAGATTGGGGAGCACCCAGTTCGAGGAGGACGGGCTGTTCCGCCGACTCTGCCTCGTTCTCGGATCCGCCGCTCAAATAGGGTCCACCCGTAGAGGCTGGCACGGGCACCAAGACCGGCGGGGGATCCCCCGGAGCACTGGCCGCGGAGCTCAGCAGTTGATCCGTCATCGCCTAAGCCGCTTTTCGAATGACCGATCGCGAGTTCTTGCCGGACTGCAGCAGCTCTACCTGGACTCGGTTGCGTTTCTTTTGCTTTTCTCGTGCTTTTCTTATTTTAAGTGCATTAGAGACTCTGCCAATCGTGATGAATGGCTCACCATCGATCCGATTCAAGACGTGACTACTCATCCGGGGTTGATGAGAGCCACATCTCGTCTAGTTTAAGGGGCCACCTCTTTGTACGTGTGTCAACAAGTGATCTATAGGGGACCAACTTGTCGTCGAGGATCCTTTTGTCACAGGTAGTACACGCTGAGGTACACAAACAAAGCGGCTTAATTTCTTTGCTATTGTGCGATCGATCCGACGACGACTGCAGATCGAGGCGCGTGTGGCAGGCTGGAGTTGCGTCCGACTTGTGGAAGGCGAAGTCCCTCTCTGGGATCAGCGATCGACGATCGTCGCCACAACTTCAGTTTGAGTTTTTCTTTTCGATCGCTATATACAAACACCCACACTTCAGCTCGGCGCACATAAGCGAGTATTTTCGACGCATGTAAACACAAGTGTTTTGACTTAATTAAAAAAAATACATATCCATTTATCCCCAGTTATGAACACACGTCTATATGAAGGTAAAAATAAAACCTAGGCGGCCAGGCTGTGCTTAAAGGTTCCCCAATTTTATTTTTCTAACAAATTTGTTTGCCGCCTAATCCCGACATGAACAGTGAGCGCTCAGTAAGTTTTATAATGATAATCACTTCCTAATTATATTTTAAATGATTTCATATTTTACTTTTAATTTTTTATTTTTGCAACATAACACTTTGCTGAAAGATCGTCGGTCATTTATATTAAACGAAAACTGAAGTAGGTTTTAGACTTCTCAGATACTCTTTATATGCTTCTGTTATTTACTTTGATTGTTATTAAACATTTAAAATATAAAAACAACAAAAATGTTTCCCTTTTCAAATAAACTGTATTTACTGGGAGTCTTGCCCCGAAATTTAATGCATGTGCAAGTTCTCGAGTTACTCCTAAACACAACAACATGGGAAATTACTTACATTTTTGCGAAGCGGAGAGGTATTTTGTTAGCTGGCTTTCCAGAGCGGGCGTCTTGCCGCGAATCGGAAATGAATATGCGCCAAGTTCTCCGTAGAGAAACCTAGAGAGTGGCTTGGTTTCTCGCGGGCTCTCCTTGGCTAAGGGTTTCGGGTTCCCAGGGAAATTTACAGACCTTTTTACAACTCCCTGAATGTGGGTCACTGTGCTGGCAATTGCAAATCGAAGCCGTTTATTATTTTCTGCTTTATAAAAGTAAACACGGTGTGTAAAAAATAAAATAAATAGCGAGTACAACGATGCATTAAGTGGACGCCACTCGGACTCAGAGCCCAGCCGAAGATCAATTCATTTTTGCTATTTACATAGGAGATCCTTAGTCGGTTCGGTGCTGAACTAATCTCGCTTAGTTCGATTTAAGCTAATTTCGTTTTAACTCTAGTAAGAATCGATGTCAAGCAAATGCAGGTCCCTCAACCCCGATGAAGTTCTAACTGCCGAACTTTAAGGGTCGCAATTCGAAGTATTTATCAAGCACTTCGTCCGTGACCAGCTTCCTGGCTGCCTGGTGCTGTTCTACAATGGGTGTGAGGGTCTGAAGAGGAAGTATAAAATTATTGTAAAACCGTGTTAATAAAAACAAAAAGGTTTAACTTACCTCCACGGCCAGCTTCTTGATCTCCCCCGTTAGCATTTCACCCTTGCTGTAAGCCACTCGCACCTCCTCCAACTTGGCATCGTCCTCCAGGAAGAACTTAAGCAGCTGGTAGGAAACATCAACTTCGGGTACACCACCTAACTTGCGGTGCTCCTCCACAGTGGCGCGTCCTCCGGAGAAGGCGTACTTGTTGATCTTGTTCTTAACCTGCTTCGGCGTATCTGTCAAAAAAACTGCCGAATTCAGATCGCTAGCAGACATCTTTGTTTTGGCACCCTGCAGCGCCGGGAAGAAGGTTGAGTGGATAAGAGCGCACTTGGGGAATCCCAGACGAGGGGCCACATCACGGGTCATGCGGAAGTACGGGTCCTGATCGATCGCGCACGGGATGAGACAGTGCACCTTCTTGTTGCCGAAAATGAAGGGGAAGGTGCTCGAGATGGCAGGAGCTGCTTGAGCGGCCGGGAAACCAATCTTGCCAATAATGTCTGAATCGCCAAAGCCAAAGATGCCCTTCACCTGGTTGAAGGTGACGCACTTTTGGATGCGAATGATGTTCTGGTACATGGCAGGATTTTTTCTAAAAGGAAAAGCAATCGATTAAGAGTTTCTTAAATTCTTCTTTAAGTTACCCACCCCATAAATTCCAGGTTGTTGAATATGAATGTCTTATTGACATCGAATCCCATGGCCACAATATCCTTGGCATTCTCACGTGCCAGCTTGATGGCATCTTCTACTTTCAGGTCTTTCCACAAGGTCTTCTCGTCGTCGGTCAGCTGGATGACCAGCGGCACATCGAACGTCTCCTGCAGCCACTTGGTCATAATAAAGGGCACCAGGTGACCAACATGCAGGGATCCGGAGCTAGGACCACGACCAGTGTACAAGTAGAAGGGTTTACCCTGTTCCCGCAGAGACAGAATCGTATGCAGATCCCTGTGTGAGAAGAACATGCCCCGCTTGATTAAGTGGTGCACGGGCTTCCCCGTGATTTTTTCAAAGCGAGCGATGAGCTCCTCATCGATTTTGCTGGAGCCAAAACGTTCTGCAACGTGTCAATATTTGTAGATTAAATAAGCTGAAGGGAAGTGATTAATGAAGGCCAGTTGAAACACTTACTAATCAGCTTGTCGTAGTCGACGCCCGCGTCATTGCTGCTGGCCACATTCCACGGATCCACGACATCTTCGGCTGGTGCAGCTGCTCCCTCCTGGGCCTGAGCATCCGTGCCTGTTTCCACGGGCTCCACCTCAGCTTTTCCATTCAGCGTCAGTGCCTCCACGCCCTCCACAATAGTCTCCTTGGTGTCCGCCATTTGGTTGGGATTTCGTCAGTCTAATTTTCGCGATTTAACAGATAATTTAATACTGGCCAGTGTAATTGGGCCCTTCACACGTGAAATGAGGCGCTTATTAAAGGTGGCCAATCGTCGATACCACTATCGATAGTCCGTTTTATTTGTTGATGCTGGACAACTCTGTTTAATCAGCTGTTGCACTGCAAATTGCTGGCGAAAAATGCAAGCAGGTTGAATGTTATTTCGTTTTTGGATAAATTGGGCAATAAACAACTAACAAAATGCCTATAATGTACAACACGGGCGAGTGGTTCAAAGTGCGGCCGGACTACTACAGGTGTGTAATCTCCAAACGTTTTAAACCAATAAAACCACTAAAGGATACGCCCATAAATGATATGTATATTCAGAAAAGTGGAACTCGCTACACCCGATTGGCCCTTGGATTTGGACTTGGAGTACATGCTGGTGGAAGCGGCTCCATATGGAGGACCATTAGCGGCCACAAGGGATCCCACCAAATTGGTGCCGGTAAAGGGAACCGCCAGACCAATGATTCGCATCTTCGACACAACCGGCAGGGAAACAGGTCACATATTGGTGAGTAAACTAATGAGAAAGAAATACATTTTAAAGAAGTTGTTTTTTCGCAGTGGAACCATGGGAAGCTAATAGCCATGGGCTGGTCGGACACGGAGGAGCTTATCTGCATCCAGGAGAACGCTACTGTGTTTGTGTACGACATGTTTGGCCGGGAAAAAGAATCCTACAGCATCGGCGATGAAGCAAGTGTTACCAAAATTGTGGAGGCGAAGGTTTTTCAGTCATCGGCTGGAACAGGAGTAGCCGTGATGACCACATCTGGTCGGATCTTTCTCAAGCAGAACAGCAACAAGACTGAAAGGAAATTGCCAGACATTCCGAGTAACCTAATACCCACCTTTTCAAATAACAACAGGATCTAATAAGTTTTCCTTTGCAGATTCCAGCATCAACTGTTCTTGTTGGGAGATTGTTACCGAGGGACGCAATAGCTATTGCCTTTTGGGAAGAGATCGAGAGGTGATTAAACTGTTCCCAGGCGAAACAGTGGGCACCATTACAGCCAATCTCTTCGAGAAACCGCATGAGCGAATTATCAAGATCTCCGTGTCGTACAACCACCAGCACTTGGCTTTGTACACCAACACCGGACTTCTTTGGCTGGGCAGCGTGGATATGCGACAAAAGTACTGTGAATTCGACACGGGTCGCAAGGACATGCCATTGCAAATGGAATGGATTATGAACTCGGATAACAGTGAAGCGGATGCCGTGGTCATTTCCTACCCATCCTACCTTTTAATTGTTAATCGCAATGCTGATCGCAGTGATTTTCCTTACGATCCTGTCATGTTCCTTGTAGCAGAAATGGATGGTGTCCGCATCATCACGCAGAGCTCACATGAGATGATTCAACGCCTGCCCAAGTGTGTGGAGAATATCTTCGCTGTGAACAGCCAGGAACCGGCCAGCTATCTTTTTGAAGCGCAGAAGAAGTTCGAGGAGAAATCGTACAAGGCGGACGAGTATCTCAGCATGTGTCGGGAAAACATTGATCTGGCGGTGTCCGAATGCATAGAAGCAGCGTCCTTCGAATTTTGTCCAGAGACTCAGAAAAGTTTGTTACGGGTAGGTAGTTAAAACTTTGCTTCATTTAAAATACTTTCCAAAATATTTATTTGTATTTAAGACGGCTTATTATGGAAAGGGCTTTATACGTGGCCACAATCCCGACGAATACATGCGTATAATGAGAATATTGAGGGTACTTAATACTCTGCGGCATGAGAGGATTGGCATGCCGCTTACCTTTAAACAGTACGTGTCTTCTACATCGTGGTTTAAAAGTACTTTGACTGAGATTTCCATTTTAGGTTCACGCACCTTAATACCGAGGTGATACTCAGCCGTTTGGTATTCCGCAAGCACTATGCCATAGCCATTCAAGTGGCCAAGCATTTAAACCTTCCGGAATCCTGGATCTTGGAACACTGGGCCTACCATAAGGTTATCAATGATCCGAGTGAGTGTAACTCTAGTTAATCTTTAGAACTAATAATTTATAAGTTTGTTCTTAACAGATGACGTTGAAGTGGCGCGTAAGATTACAGAAAAGTTTAAAAATCCCTCGGTGGAGGGCATTTCCTTTTGCAATATTGCTGCGAAGGCACATCAAGCTGGTCGTGATGATCTGGCCATCAAGCTGCTGGAGCTGGAGCCACGTGCTTCGCTCCACGTACCTCTGCTGCTAAAGATGCGGAAGTTTGATCGGGCGGTAGGCAGTGCCACGCAGTCTGGAGATACAGAATTAATCACCCAAGTTCTACTGGAAATGAAAATGCACATGATGCTGTCTAATTTACATGTAAAGCGAAATCTGTATTTTAAAATGAATTTAAATATTAATATTATCCCCTTTGTTTTCAGATGACCATCAGAGATCATCCGCTGGCGCTTAACATGTACAAAAAGATCATGCGGGAATCAAATCGAGCCGGGCTCTATGGCATTTACAACACAGAGGACGATCAAAAGGCAATCGCCGAGTATCACTTTGAAAACGCAATCGAAACCGAAGGTCTGGAGTCGAATCTGTCGATGATTGGCAATGCATACGCCCAGGGACGTTGCACATTGGAGGCAGAGCTTTGTTCAGATACTAGTCGATTATTGAAGCTGCAAAAGACTCTAGGCACAAAGTATAACGTCAGCTTCAGTGGATTGTCAGTACACGACACCATTCTGGAGTTGCTACAGATCGGAGAGTTGAAGGAGGCAGAGCGGTTGAGAAACGATTTTAAGGTGCCCGAGCGACGATTTTGGTGGATGCGAATCCTCATGCTCTCCGAGCAGCACAAATGGGATGAGCTGGAGAAGCTGGCGAAAAGCAAAAAGAGTCCCATTGGCTACGATCCTTTTGTAGAGGTCTGCTTAAAACAGGATAAGCCAAGCGAGGCGCGGAAGTATATAGCCAGATGTCGGGACAACCGCAAGGGTCTCTGGTTTTTGAGGGCAAAGTAAGTTGCCTTACTTTGTAACACACTGGATTGTCTAAATTTAAATATTTTTCTCTTTTATAAAGCATGTTTAATGAAGCCATAGATTGCGCCTTCGAGCAGCGAGATGTGCACAGTCTCTATGAACTGCAGAAGAATCAGGCAATCGTGAACGATGGCACTCTGCTCAGCAAAGTTTGCACTTACATTGCCACGCTGGAAGGAAAGTAGTCGCAACATTCCTATTAATGAACAAACAGTTTGCGTATAATAAAATGGTATTTATTTATGGCTATACAAGGAACTAAGGGTTTTGTTTATGTGAAAAGTAGAGGTCCCAATAATTGGCTTGAGGAGAAAACTTTAATTTTCCTTTTTCCACACCTCTGCTTAGAATGTATTTCATTTCCCAGATGGGACCTCCTGTCCCACTGCCCCAGTAAAATCCAGCCACTGAGCTGCCGACAGTAACTATAAACCCAGTTAACACACACACAATTTGGCGCTGTCCCTTGCATAAGTAACTCGGCTCGGCCCCCCGCAATTTGTAGACAATTTCGTTATACGGACCATAAACGCGAATTCCCGATGCTCGACGCCTGTGTAAATAAAATTTATAATCAGTGCCACATCCACGACCCGAAGGAAGCCAAAAAAAAGAAAAGTGTATTTCTGTGACGACACTCCTGCTGGCTGGATCTGGATGGCAAACACAGAATGGCAAATGTTGACGCCTTTATTGGGTTCAAAATGTGAATTGCGTCATGGTAAATGGGGGCGGCGTAAAAGGAGGCTGGGTTTTCAGGGAGTAAGTAGTTGACATTGTCCTAAAACACGTTTGTCAGCAGCAAAGCCTAAAAATGTGACTTTGGGGGGAAGCCATGCCGGAAACACGGAATTCCAATTAGTCTTCATTTTTAGTAAAATTACCACACACACTCCCCCTTTTTTTGCTGGCCAATTTTTAAAGCGGCGACCATATTTTTCCCGCTGCTGCTGTTCTCGTGACTTCCATTTTCGCCACCGATACTGTCGACTGGATTTATTTATGGCTCACAGGATGTTCGATTCGTGGAGTTTGTAAGCCGAATTTATTTGCAATTTTCGGCCGTTGTTTAAAAAACGCTTTCGCTGACAGACGGAAACCATTGGTGGTTTTTCGGCTGCGGTTTTTGGTTGTCCTACGACATTTCCGTCCTGGCAGCAGATGCCATTTCGGTGGCTAAATGTCACTGCGACATGACAAACTAAAAGGTTATTGCATTTCAAAAACATGCATTTCCATGAACGGATTATTCTCAAATTAATATTTCATGGGGGTGTGCTGACATAATTGGAAACACCCCAAAACATATCCATTACGGTCCGATAGCCTTCAGCAAAGAACAAATATTACTACACTTTGAATTGAAAGCCAACAAGCCCAACTACAAACTACAAACTGTGTACCAACTACATATATCTATATCTGCATATATATATAGTATATTTGCAGAGTCAGCAGACCACCACCGATATAGTCGGTCCGTGTTATTGATGGTCACATTGCGCGCTTTTTATTTCATTGCATTTTTATATTTTTAATAAACTCGCAAAAGCGACAGAAATTACAAGCGATGTCAGGGCGAGTTTCTGGCAGCGAGCCAAGTTTCGGAGACAGGCCAAAAGGGACGGCTACCACCAAATAAAACCCGGCTGGCTGCGAAATATGTCGACTGCAATGGCGGACGAGGGGCTTTGCCTCAATTTATGTCGGCACAATGCCGAGCGCCGCTCCAAAGGACACTTTAAGAAGGAGCAAGGAGCGGAAAGCTGAAAGTGGGGGAATATTATAAAGGAATAAATCAAGGCATTTCGCCTGCACCGGACACGGGAGGCTGTGGTCACGCCTAAGACCTCAGAGACGACGCCCCTGTGCATTATTAATGCCCCACCATGTCCAAACTTTCCCCTCTGTGCATAGTTATCCTTCCAGCTTCGCCTGGCTTGCCCAGCTTCCTTTGACCGTCTCAAGGCCAACGCTTCGGGAGCTTTTGTTTTCACTGCGTGCTTAAGACCCCCGAAAAATATGTCAGCCCGGCGAGAGCAACAATTTATCATCCCCCGGAATCGGAGGACGAGATTGGTCCAACTACCAGCTACTTCCACTTCCACCTCGACATCCATCCACATCCATGGTTCCAGTTCCAGGTCCCTTTCTCCATTTGGTCAGTGGCTCATCAAGCGATGAAAGCCAACGCCTGGAGCTGTCAAATGCAAATGTTGGCCTGATGTTCGGATTAGCATATAACAACCGAAGGACATATCTGTGCAATCCCCTGGATTTCCCACTGAGTGTGTCTGTGTGTGTGTGGGTGTTTGTCCACGTGTCCTCGCAGGACGTCAGCTGTGTGCTTCTCTCCATCGGCGCTTGTGTTTGCCAAAGTATTTCTTTCACTCGATGTCGTTTCATATAAAACAGATGTCGTCGCTCTTATTATGGCCGGCCATCCTCCGATGCCATATGCAAAAAAGTTATGCCATTTTTTCAGGTACGTATATCGCACGGACTCATTTGTTTGCGTGCTGGACAAAAAATATGAATTTTTATTGCCGCCTATATTGCTGCTGTTATTTGTAGAAACACATTCGGCAGATGCGCACGCATTATTCATTTTTAAATGTATGCCATCGAGAATACCCACTGGTTATTGGAGCTGTGAAAGCAATTTGTGTATTAAGTGCAGAGCAATAAGTTTCACAAAAAGGGACTCAAATATATAAAAAAAGGGATTAATTGTTCCGTTGAATCTGTTCGTAAGAACTCTTAAAATTATTAAAATTGAAAGTACATTTTTTATATTTTTTTTCATTAGTAAGCATATATAATTGAAATTCACCTTAGATTAAAGCAGCATAAGTGCAACCTTCGATTGTGTGAGTATCCTCCAGGCGACACAAAATGCGGGTTGGCTCAAAGGACGAAATCCTGCTGGTTGCCCAATGCATGAATGCCAGAACGTGGTCGTTATCCCTGTGGGCTCTAAGCGCCATAAGCATTTTCTTATGCTCTTATTTATATGCAAAAAAAAGCGAATACATATTTACCCATTTTAGTTGCCTGCAACACTTTTGGCCACTTCCTGGCTGCCTGACATGGCCGCAAACTGGGCCTGCGGCTGAGGCTCCCATTTCCCCAGCAGCCCCAGCGGCCTTTCCTGATCCTTCTGGCGGTATTGGCCCTGCAGTTGACACAGCCCCGACTTTATCTGGGCTCAAAAAACGAGGTAGGTTAGTTATTCGTTTGGACCGCTCTGCGGCTGGCCATAACCGCCCACACGGGCAACACATTTTTTGGCCACTGCGCCTCGGCTCGCTTGGATTTATTCGGCCTGCTCTGCCAGAATTGTTATTAATAGCCGATGCGATACATCCTGACCCCCTCTTTTGCCCACGAGGCGGGTGTGCACCTCGCACATTTCTGCATATAAATTTTGATTGCAGCCCATAAAAACAAAGTTATGTTTTGCGGTCGAGATCAGGTGACTCTTTTCAAAAGTACTTAAATTTCACGGCGGTGTACCTCAATGCCGCTTTTAAGTACGATAAATTGGTCTTTGAGTATTTAAATTTAGTAGTAAATTTCAGCTTTAAATTAGCCTATAATAAATTTTGAAACAATCGGAAAACTTAGCTGTTAAACACACCTAAATCTCTTGTAAATTGATAGTGAAACTACTCTAACCATGGACACACTCGGAGCTTTGAAAACTTTGCAAACGGCTCAATCACCCAACATTTCGAAACAGCAATTGAAAGTTCAAGTGCCGCATTAACCTGGAGTACTGGCAGGTCACAGCAAATATATAGAAGCCAGAAGGACGGGGCCAAGACAAAGGGAATCAATGAAAGGGAAACAAATTGTGTTCGGTTGGGAAGGAGGAGGACAAACAAATACGAGTGGCAGCCAAAAGACAACCGGAACATAATGTGCGATAAGGGGGAAGGGAAATGGGGGAAGATGAGGGCCCAAACCTACAGCAAACAGAAGGCAAATGGCAAAAAGACAAACCCACGTAACCTCAAGCCACCAACAATAAACAGCAACAAAGATTGTTCTCCAATTCCCAGACAAAGCGAAAAAAATACGAATTACCACTTGAATTATTTACGCTGGAATAATTCAAGGAAAATGTACGTCATTTACCAGGAACTCGGCTTTTGGGTTGACTTGGCGCCTTTTTTTTGGTAAGAATTTATGTTTGCTTAACAGACTGCGCAGCAGAAAAAAGAAATTCCCATAAGTGCAAAAGGGAAAGCTCGTAACTTTTGTTGACAAATCTTTGCTGTCAATACTTAAAGGTGGAAGCTTCTTATCCCATAAGCGATGAAGCGAACTGAATATTTTTACCCAGAAATGCAGTTTTAGAAGTAAACAATTATCCTTTGCAGTAACCGGTTGTATTGCCTTGCACAACCCGAAAATGAAATCGGTAAATACTGTCCTTCTGCTTCAGTAAACAATTCATATTACTGCCGCGCTGGCCGTTTCGCCATATCTTCTTCATCCAGGTAAGCACCACAAAAATAATGGCGAAAAGGACAATTTTCTGCGAAAAATGTGCTGTCGGGCATGTCAAGTTATAGTTTGCTCTGCGGCGCGGAAATGAAACCAATACACAATATACAATATACAATATACACGGACCGATGTGCCGAAAAAAAGTAGGCAATATTTTGTTATTGTTACCGCAGAATGCTTTGTTCGACCTGCACCGTGTGCTAACATTATGGCATCTCTTTTGTTACCTTGTCGCCAGTGTCCTTGCCGCAGCCAGGACCTTGGATCGCCGCACCGGCTGTCTGCCGCCGCCTACACCATCGCCATCGTCATCATCATTGCCATTATCGTCATCATGGGCTTTAGCCAACAATGGCAACAAGCGGGAATGGCAATACGCTGCGGTCTTTTCGTGGCTCCATTTAGTTGCCCTCTAATATGGAATAAACAAAGCGCCAGCGGCGTATTATCCTGATCCTGTGCAGAGAGGTGTGAAATTCAATTTGGCCAATTCCTAGCAGCCATTGTTCCCCTTTTCACTGCCACTTTCACTTTCACTCCCACAATCCGTATCCCTATTCCTACTATGTACTCATTCCCAACCAGCAACCATTGGCCAATTCCCGCTGTCCATGGGGCTGTCCGTTTTCATTATTAAGGCCATTTGCTGAATCCTGGTGACTTTTGCCCTCGGCCCGTCTACTAACTGACAGATTGCCGGCATCGGTTTGAACCTCGGACACAAATTAAATTCCAGTCTTGTG